CCTGGTTTATGTTTAGGCAGAGGTTTATTTCTATCAGAAGCCAGTGGAGGGCGCAAGGGTGGGCGCAATGGATTGCGCCATGCCTTCTCCGACTGGCAACCGGCCTCCTTGTGTTTTGGTGTCAGCACCGTCTGACAACCAACCTCTCTATGACTGTGGGGTGTCAAGTCAGTTTGGCACTCTACCTCCACGCCTTCGCTCCTCTGTCGTCCTTCAGACCTAAGACTGTTCGCCCTAGTATCTCGAATCTTGTCCTTAAAGGCGTCCTCACAACTGTCAAACATGTTGTACATAAAGGGCCGATATGCCTCGATTCGCTTACGCAGCTGTGTACAAGTTGTGGCGTGATCTTCTTCATTTATCAAACCCTCTTTTTGCATCTCGTTGAGACGAACTATCGACGTACGTATAGCACCCACTATCGATTCGAATACCTCGTTGGCCTCATCCATCATCTTCAGCAATTCCTTGTCAGTAAGTTCAAGTTTATCCTGTGTGTTCCGGGTGCCATAGTTGAAAGGCACAGGTATACAGACTTCGTTGGTCGTCTCCTTAGTAGTCGTCGTCTTGATAACCGACTTTACGCTTGCATTGCTGCTGTCACTAGATCCACTCGAACTGTTTGCCTTGTCCTTACGATTCGGACTTCGACTCCATTCTCTCGCACCCGAGCTCTCCACCTCCTTACGGGCGACAAAACGCCCCTTCTCGTCTCTCGGCGCACCTCGCCCACTTCCGCCTGGGCTCGGCCTACTCCCCTCAGCAGTGTAAAATTTTGATTTAATTGACTCCATTTCTAATCCCACGAGTACATGGCAAAACTCGTCCACCCGTGCAGAGGCCTTTGTACACGGGTAAGCCTAGGGTTGTGAAGGCGGGGGTCGGCCGGTCCCCGCCTCCAGAGGCCGTGTAGCGACAGTGCTACCCACTGCCACTCATCTCCTGACCCACGGCTAGTGCGAGATTGGTGATTTTTTCCCCGTAGTTGTCTCCACCCAGAACCGTCAAACAAAGGAAAGCCCCCCATCCCTAGTCGAAGAAAAGGTACGGGTCGGCCGGTGGTTGCCCTTACAAGGACGCCCGTCGCTCGTGCCAGCCACGACACGACAGGCCCACCGCCCTCGTTGGCACGGCCGCTGCTCGAGTTACCCTCGAGACGCCCGTCCAACCCGAACCGCGCCGCCGCTTCTCGACTTACCGTCGAGGCGCCAGCCCGGAGCCAATCCTCTCGAGACTCCCTTAACAGGGAAACACCCCGGAACGTGACCCGAAACTGGGTCTTACCGCCCCCCTACACTCATCACGACGGCCCTGAAAAGGGCCAACGACGACCCACCCGAAGGGGTCGAACCCTCCTCCTCCCGAATGAGATGGACACCGCGGAAGAAGTTATAGGTAAAGCAAAAGCGATACTAAGACCAGAAGAAAACACAATACAAATAGAACGAATAAGAAAGGTTAAAGACCAGAGGATTATAATTAGCTGTATAAATGAAGATGAAATTGAAAAAATTAAAGAGAAAATACAAAAAAGTGACGAGTTGGAAGCAACAAAGGTACAAAATAAAAACCCATTGGCAATAATAAAAGAAATTAAATATAGAATGACAGACGAAGAGCTTAAAACCGCTCTACGTAAGCAAAACCCGGATATATACATAGACGGAAATGAGGACGATGAATTGAAAATAAAATATAGACGTAGGACGAAAAACACCGAGAAGTGCCACGTCATAGTACAACTAAAACCAGAAATATGGAGAAGAATGGTAGAAAAGGGGCACCTCTACATAGAAATGGAGAGGGTAAGAGTGGAAGATTAGACTCCCCTCATCCAATGTACAAGATGCCTCAATTACGGACACGGGAGGAAATTTTGCCCGGATAGTGCGGACAAGTGCAGCCACTGCGGAGGATTACACCTGCGGGCAGAATGCCCGGACAGAAAAACAGGAGTCCCCCCGCAGTGTTGCAACTGTGCGCACGCCGAGCTACAGGATATTGAGCACAACGCGTTCAGCAAAGACTGTAAGATACGGGAGAAATGGGATAGCCTCGCCCGCTCCACTACAGCATATCAATGAGGACAAACACAAACACAAAAAACAGGAACACAACAATAAAATAACACACAACAAAACACAAATTCAACACCAAAGAATAAAAAACACAAGCAAACAAAAATCACGGCACACTTACACGATGGTATATTTGAAAATGATGAACATTTCAAATAAACCATCGAAAGCAGACAACTCAGAAAAACCATAGACAGAGAACATCATGAAGATGGGAACTCTATGGGAACATAAAACAATTACACAAACATGGAATATATAAATGTATATATTGAACAAAACAGGACAAGACTAAAAATAAAGAATAAAAATAAATTAGGAAAAGAAAAAGGAACACACTATATATTTAGGAATATATAAACGGTGACCTTAAAATAAGAATTAAAATACTATAGGAAAACTAGGAGCTAAGACAAAAAATAAATAGGATAGGACAAACATAGATCTAAAATATAGAGAAATAGTAATAACTAAAGGAAATAAAAAGGAAGGTGAAAAGGGATAAAAACCACGGATAAGAACATGACAATGGATATAAGAATAAAATATATTATGTGTTAGAAAATAAGTAATAGATTATAAATAGAATTAAGTAAGATGTAGAAGCCAAGCATTGTATAAAAACTAAGACACTAAGAAAACAATAAAACTGTACAAGAATAACAAAGCAGGATAAATAAGTTTAAGATAGATATAAAAAACTGTGAAACTGAAAGAAAAAAATAAAAAAAAATGTAACTAGAATATAATCAAGATAAAATTGTAAGTTAGATATAGATATTAAGAATAAAAAGAAATAGAATAAGAATAAGAAAATGTAACCTTAAAGAAATAAATAAATGAAGTCTCTGTGTTTAACCCCAGAAATAAAAGATAAATAAAAAGAATAGAATAGTATAGGACCGGCAATCCCAGCCGTAAGAATGAAAGAGGAAGGATATAAGAAAGATAAGGTATGAGGAATGAAAGAAAGCAAATGCGAGAACTGGAATGAATGAGAACAAAAGAATAGCAAGGGCCTGCTACTAAGTGGGGACAATTAGGAACGCCCGGTCATAGACTGTAAGACCGAGCACAAAAAAAAAAAAAAAAAAAACCCTCCTCCTCCCAGCCCGTCAGCCGCTACCCGGAATAAGTCCAGGACGCCTGACGGGCTCCCTCTGCTGCTCGTTGGCGCCACCCGGGGGACACGTGCAGGGTTACAAACGGCCAAAGCCTGCGGACGTGAGCAGCTCGTCCCCCCCAATACGCCCCTCTGGCAAGGTGACCGAACCCGAAGTCCGCAACCGAGTCCACTCCCACTTGTGAGTCACCTCGGAACACAAAACGCCGAGATGACGACTCGATTGCAGCTCTACCAGTGTCAACCTGATCGACGCCCTTAAAAGGACGTTGACAGGCGTCCCCCACCGGTTTCGCCGCACCGACCGCTGATGAGTCGCCTCAGAACATAAAAATCCGAGGCCACTCCCACTTAAGCCGTCAGTCTTAGAACTCAAAACGCCAAGACGACGACTTATTGCTCAGCTGTTGTCATCGGGACATAAAAACCCGAATCTAACAGCCGAGCCCCTTTGTTGCTCATTTGGCGCCACCCGGGGGCACGTGCAGGGTAACTAAGGGTAAACTCCTGCGGACGCGAGCAACTTTATCCCCCGAGCTACCCAAGACCTAATAGGACTGACGAATTTTTGAAGCACTAGTTACTTATTTGCTATTACAAAGCGTATTTTCATCAATGTTCAGGCAATCCACCCAAACAGACGAAAGAAATATTTTTACAAATATTTAAACTTTCGATAAAGATGATAATGTGTTCTTATTATTGATATTTTATTTTTATACTGATTCTTTGAATGTTTTTCATTAAGAATATTTTTCAGTATGGTTTTATGAATGAAAAATTGATAACATATAATTATTAACGATTTTAATTTAAGGGTTAATAATTTACAATAAAAGTTTTTATGAATAAAGTAGAAAAAGATCAATAAAACAAAATTGTATCTCGTCTGTAATCAACTGTGGCTTAATTAAAGTAAATATTTCCTCTTTTTTGTGAAATTAAATGAAAATTCCTGTTCAGTTCTGATCTAATTTCATATCAAATTCAGTATGGTTTGCCCATAAAGTATAGTTTGTGTTTTTACTCATGATAAATTCTTGTACAAGTCAACTTACGTAATGTGTAATACTTTACTGACATTAACTATTTGGTAAAGTTTAAATGAAACTTATTATTTATTTACTCTTTGAAACTAAAGAGTAAATAAGGTTTTTGAATTGAGAATTTAAAATTAAGTACGTCTCAAACTGTACTTAGATTATCTTAAACGTCACTTAAACAGGTTTTCGTTTCTTATTTTTTTTTAATGATAAGTTGATAGCTGTTTGATAAAACTAGGGCTTTTTGCCATGTGAACCTTAAAAAACTTAAGCTATCGAAAATAACTAGTTGAGATTTTGTACTATTCTCAATTCAGAAAACAGACGTAATACCCGTATGTATAGTAAAGTAAAAGTAAATAACTACTTAAGTAGTATTCTTACTATTAACATTTCTTACTCTCAACCTTACTCAAGTATATTAATGTAAGCAGTTCTTGCTTCATTCAAATTATGTATAAAAATACATATGAAATAATATTCATATAAAATTAAACAGGTGCTTGTATCTCATGATAATGTTCGATTGCGTGAAACTATATCCGTTCACAGTATCTCTATAATAAGCTTGATAATATCTTTTTGTAAGATTTTATGAAATTGGTTTTCCATTTATTCAGTGATTTTTGTTATCCTTCTGATATACTATGATAACAATGATTCATTCAATTATAAATTTTTATGTGACTAATTTTTATCGGATTAAATGATTTTGAATTGTATAAATACCTTGGAGAGTGAGGATGCAGTCAGTGTATGACCATTTGGTGTGTAATAACTGTTTTGTGTTGCTAATAGTTTATTCAGGTCTGTTATTCAGTCATGATCTTCACGGTTATTCTTATTATAGCATTTATATTATTCTATCTCTACAACACTAGAGATTTTAACTACTGGAAAGACAGAGGTGTCAAACATGATGATCCGATACTCCTCTTTGGAACAAACGCAAAGAATTATCTGATACAACAAAGTTACACTCAAATGCTCGTGGAGACATACTGGAAATACCCGAAAGAGAAAGTCGTGGGAATGTTCAGATCATCGCGCCCCACTTTAGTAATCAGAGATCCAAATATCGTAAAGCGAATTTTAACAACTGACTTCGCATATTTCCATAAAAGAGGGTTAAATCAACACGACGACGTCGTCGAACCTTTGTTCAGGAATATATTTTTTGCGGAAGGTGATACTTGGCGTTTGCTACGACAGCGCATGACCCCCGCATTCACGAGTGGTAAGCTTCGTGCCATGTTTCCCTTGATAGTTGATCGCGCAGAGAGGTTGCAAGCTTACACCGCTACGGCCGCGACAACAGGACGCACGGTCGACGCTCGTGACCTCATGGCCCGCTATACTACTGACTTCATCGGTGCTTGCGCGTTTGGCTTGGATACTGACTCCTTAAGTGATGAAGACTCAACTTTCAGAAAACTGGGCGCAAACATTTTAAATTTCCGGCTCAGAGATATCTTAGTACTTTATATGAAGGATATATTCCCTGAAGTATTCAAAAACTTTAAAATCATGGATAAGGTTGAAGATGAGATGATCAGTTTAGTAAAGGCAATACTGAAACAGAGAAACTACCAACCTTCGGGCAGGAATGATTTCATTGATTTACTTCTCGAGTGTAAGAATAATGGTTTAATGGTAGGAGAGTCTATGACGAAGGTCAAAAAAGATGGGACTCCGGAGATGACTTCTCTAGAATTGGACGATGTAACAATGGCTGCACAAATATTTATATTTTTCATAGCAGGTTTTGAAACATCTTCTACAGCAACAAGTTTCACGTTACACCAGCTAGCTTACAATCCAGAAGTACAGAAGAAAGTACAGGATGAAATCGATAGAGTATTATCAAAACACGAAAATAAACTCAGCTATGATGCTATCAAAGAAATGACATATTTGGAGTGGACTCTTAAAGAAGGCATGAGAATGTTTCCATCATTAGGATATTTATTAAGGAAATGTGCGAGGAAATATACGTTCCCGGACTTAGATATAACGATAGATGCTGGTGTTCGAGTATATATACCGGTACAGGCTATGCAAATGGATCCACAGTACTTTGAAAATCCTGAAGAGTTCCGTCCTGAACGATTCAATCCTGAAAAATTCGACGGCATATTGAAATATGTATTTCTACCATTTGGTACTGGACCACGTGCATGTATTGGTAAGTTTCAATCATGTTAAGCCCTGTTTATATTACTTATGTTGGTGCTATTGTTTTACCTAGTGTAAATATTTGCATACGAATTTTTTTAGGGATATAGGGTAGAAATTCATATTTTTTTTTCAAACAGGCTTTTCACAAGGAAGCAATCAAATGTATTTATGACAGTAAATTTGTATGTTGTTTATTTTAACAGGTGAACGTTTGGGTCTAATGCAGTCTTTAGCTGGGCTAGCGGCGGTTTTGTCAAGGTTTTCGGTGCGACCTGCGCCAGAATCGGTCCGCCAGCCACAGGTTAAGCCAGCGTCAGGCGTAGTGCAAATAATAAGAGGAGGCGTACCATTGCTGTTCGAAGAAAGGCAGATTGCCGCTTAACAATTGTCTTTAAACTTAATTTTGTAACAATCTCAAAGTAATAGTATTATGTCGTTAGGAATAAGATCTGTGTATTATTGTGCAAGAGAAGTACTCTTTTCTTAGATTATTATTACACTCGTTTTATTGTAAATAGGGTAAACAGAGTATATTTTATATTTATCATCACAAAATAAAAGAATAGCTATGTATGAAATTTTATTTAAATAATTTATTTGTTAAACTTCGATAAGTATATGAAATAAAGTTTTTTATAATATGAAATGTTTTCATTTGATTTCGTAATACATTGCCCGACTATTATCAATGTTTATTTTGATACCTTGAAATTTTTGGTTATCTCGAGTCGAGATAATAAAATAATTAGGTCTAATTTAATACCCAACTGTATACTGATTATCTTTATTTTTTTATAATTTGATTCTGATTTTAATATGTTAATGAAAATATTTCAATGCAACAATTACTAAATGTTTTTATCAAGTGTACATACGTCAGCATGTCAGACGATCACAATATGGCAAATTATCGGTAAGAGAAGTCGCCCGGATTGCGAAAGATCATAGGTTTGATTCCCACCTCAGAGTGTTAGGTACAAAATGGATTTTTTGAGCATATTTTCCTTAAGAAGCTGATAAGATATTATGAATACATATAAATATTATACAACATCACATATGTAAAACCCATATATTATCTTATATCTGAAACAACAAAGGTACCACAACACCTAGACTCGAGATAATATAGAAATGTTCATTTTCTACTTTGACTGGGACCTCAGAGAAGGTGGTACCTTGAAACTATCGTGTGAAAAACTCGGCTACGGAGGTCATCATTATGGAATTTGTATGTTGACTTTACTTTTGAAAACTTTTGTCTAATGAATCGTCTGATCCCTTACAGGTGAGAATTTCTAGTTCCACCATAATCAAGTTTATTAATATCTTACATTTAACACAATCTTTAAAGTATTACATAACTAATTATACAATTTAGATGATACTCGTAGGTCGATTTTACAGAATAGCAGAAAATAGCTGTTACTTCAAAACAAAACAGAATTTATGTCAATATGTTGGAAATTAATGACATGAAATCAAAGGATAGTAGTTATTCAGGACTACTTCTAGTTATTACTCTTCTGTGTGAGCTATGTGTGCATCTGACATACTTATGTTTATTAAACTAAATTCCTTGACATGTTCAATAAGTTTAATATTTCCATTTGACATCTTATACATTTTTTAATTATTTTTTTGTACAATTTGATAAAATGAACATGATTAATAACTAATTAAATTGAGAATGTTTTGGCACAATTGTAAGTAGCCGTCCATAAATTACGTCACACAAAATTCATGTTTTATTACACCCCCCCCCCCCCTCCTGTCACATGTTTTTCTATACAAATTCTACTAAATATTGTTCTAATGTCACAGTTCGTCGACCCCCCTCCCCCCTCCTAACGTGTGACGTAATTTATGGATGGCCCCTAATATTTTGAATTAATGCTAATATAGTTAAATTTGACACAATTTTATGTAATTATGAAATATTTCAAGTTACATCAATTTTATTATTATTTTTTTTTAATTTTTTTTTTTGCATGCTGTTCAAGATGGCTTAATAGATCAAAGTTCTTAAACTTAAATATTATCACTGTATATATAACCCTATTTATTGCAAATAAAGACATTATTCGAATTTTTTATTATGTCGTATGCGTGCTAGATAGCGTTCACTAGATAAACGACAGGGACAAATTTTACATACTTACGAACATACATGCAACAATTTGTATCAGATGGACATGGTCCACGGACTAATAACCGACCTGAAGGAAGACAATATTGCTTCGCTTCCTTCATAGATGTTTGCATCGAAATGATCCATGAAATGTCAACTTTTAGTCTTAGTCTCATCTGAACTCCAGACCTACTTTCTGCAAGTTCCGTTGCTGTTTTGATTAAACGTTTTCTAAAGTAGCCATGTTGAAGGAAATCCCTAGTTTAATTATATTCTGATTAAAAAGTTACGTACCTAAGGTAAAATTAGGCTAACCTATACTCTTGATTATTTATGTTTTTTATCCCATAACATGCTTAGAAAGTGATTACAATATTATAGTTCGGTTTACGAATGTTTTATTTCTCAAAAGACTAGTTCCTTATAAGAATATTCATCAAATTCTAAGAAAATCCTAGTTCCTATTCAATTTTTATTAGCAAAGTAATTCAATACAAATATTTGCTCAAAATGTAAGTTTACATTGAACATTACAAACAAGCTATTATTTCCCATAAAAATTATTGATAAACATAAACACAATCGTGTTATTTTGAAAACAAAGATTTATTTATTAGAAACAATCGTATTCCACTATCAAATTCCACAGGAACAAGCAGGATTTGTCAAGGGAAGAGGTACCAGAGAGCAGATACCTTCGCCTTATAGTAGAGAAATGCCATGAGTACAACACACCTACATACATGTGTTTCGTTGACTACCAGAAGGCTTTCGACTGTGTGAGGTGGGATAAGCTTTGGGAGGTGCTTACTGAAATGGGCGTCCCCGCTCACCTTGTATTGCCGATTTGCAACCTCTATGAATCTGGATTTGGTACAGTGACCACGGGAGACGTTATTTCAATCCGTTTCAAGTTCCAAAAGGGAGTGGGACAAGGTAATGTGATTTTACCAATCCTGTTTAATATTTATGGTGAGTCTATAATGCGCCAGACGCTCGAAGGCTAGAGGGGTGGAGTCAAGATAGGTAGAGTTAATATCTCCAACCTCCGATTTGCGGATGATACCACATTACTTGCATCTTCCGAAGCAGAAATGGCGGAGTTGCTCAATAAGTTAGAAACCGTCAGTTTAAGAATAGGCATCGCCATAAATAAAGCTAAGACCAAGGTCATGGTCATAGACCGTTTTTCAAAGTGTCCCAACACTAACCTTCTGCATGGATATGAGACCGTGAACCAGTTCCAGTATCTGGGCTCTGTAATCACAAAAAGGGCATCTGTGAGCCAAAGGTGCGAAGACGAATCGGCATGACGTAACTGGGTAAAGTGTGGAGAGATAGAAACATCAGCAACAAAACAAAAATACACCTAGTCCGCACACTCGTCTTCTCCATATTTCTGTGTGGTGGCGAAATCTGGATTATTAAGGCGGCTGATCCCCAAACGATGGTCATACCAGATCCCGGAGGTACTTGAAATCCCGGTCAGTGCTGCACTCCACCAAGCAGCTGAGCGAAACCGATGGAGACAGATGGTTGGCAAGATGACACGGAGCCATGATCCTCAGCAGTGAGGCAACAATAGAGAAGAGAGTATGAATACAAAATGATTCATATAATTCTTAAAACTTAGAATTGACGTCCGTTTAACAAGATAATTTTTAAGCGTTTTCAAAACGCTATGTAAATATGGTACACTTTGAAAACGCTTAAAAACGAGAGAGTGATTCGAAATTTTTCCAATATAAAAACCAATCAATATTGTATTGGAGGCAAGTTACATTGATTTTTGTCTAAAAACTGTGTTACCAGACAATCACAACCAAATGCCAACAACTACTTTTTTTTTGTTTTCTTATACTTATATTTTCAAATACCTATATCACAATGATGTCTTCAAACAAGCTCACGTGATGAGTAAAAGTAGACCTTAATGTGAAATCTGAACAAGTGCGACATTTGTAAACGCATTGTTTCAACTTCATATCACAGATGTATTTATCACGGTTACGTGATGAATTTGAACTAAACATATTGAACTAAATAGGTAGTAGGTTTTTAAGCAAATATAAGCCTAAATAATGGCCGGAGGAGTGTATTCATTATAAAAATTAAGGCGCTGATTTAGCAAAATTGAAGCAATATATAATAACAATCGAAAAAGAAAAGCCGTATATGTCTTAAAGTACATAAAACATCTATTAAAGATGCAAACAAAGGTTTTGTAGACAATAAATGTCTAATGGGTAGTAGTTAATATGAGAGATGATATCAGAACTCTATTAAAAAATGACACTAAAATTCACTACTTTTACAATGTACTAGCTGAAACCGACTATAATTTTGGCGTGTATACACTATATGACTGAGACATCTACATTATAGGTACCATACAAACTTAAATTACGGTTCTCTGAAAGTTATTTTTATAGTATTCTTGTTATGCTGCGTAATGTACATACCATTTATATTAGAATTCAGATACATTCATGTATACATATATTTACTTTTGACGCCGGTGTTCGGAACAGTTATGTAATGCTGTATCGAAACTATTGGTGAAATTTGCAAATGTTAGCGTATTTATGAAAAGTCAATAGTGCTTCAACTACAACTTTTTATGACACAGTTCTTTTACTAGATCACAAAATAATAAACACGTCTATCACCATTGATCTGTGAGAAAGTCATTGCACTAATAATATAGGAATTCAGTTAGTACAATAGTAAAATGCAAGTAGTTAAGACTCTTATGAGATGCGATTATATTACATAAAAATTTCTCGTTGAGTCAGGAATATCTCCAAGATTGCATTCTCTCATAATTATACAGCGTGTTTGGTAATACCTGTATAATCCCGAATATGGCACATACAGTATGATGAATAGAACCCAGAAAAATGATCACTAAGACTGAAACCCAGCACATGACCTAGATATTCAGCTTTTTTTCTTCGAAGTAAAACTGTACGCTGACAACCCTAAAAACAGCTGTTGTGTTGTATTTGGTCATCGACTCCATGTGCCGAACTAGTTTAAAAAATAACAGAAGTTAAATAAATCTAAAGATAAATGCCTAGAATAAATATGCATCTGAGAGGAATTTATTATTTCCAAACAAAGAAAAAGTTAGTAGTAAATGACTTTTAAGTATAAAAAAACACTAATCTTGTGATTAACGGTGTTTCAAAAACTATTAATATGAAAACTTCTGTAATAATACAGTCAAAATAAAAAAGAAATTGCAAATACTTTGATTGAAGTTCAATATCTGCACCATTGCTCACATTAGTCTATGCAAGAAGGAGCGAGCGAGACATAAAATCGACGACGATGTGTATTGAGAAACTCGGGTTTCTGATGTGTCAGTAAGGTTCTGTAGATTATTTGCTTTGAAGTTTTGTTATTTTTTTCATAAAGCCGTGTTATTTTCACGAAACAATAAAATACGGACTTATACAATGATATTAATAATCTAAGTATCTCTCTTATTCTTAGTTTAAATGATAATTAAATAAAGGTTAGTTGTAATGGAAAGGTCTAATAATAAATAATATTTCTTGACGCGGAACCCCAAAATCGGTACACTTTTGATTTAGGTACATTGGTGTTCGAGTTGCAATAATAATAACCTATGTAGTTTTGGTCATCGCGTCAGTTGCGTCCGTGACTTTCATCGGCGTACTTGTGAGTTTTCAGAATTTAGAAGGTCAATTTACGTTTTCGTTCTTTCGGGACTTTTGGTTTGTTTTTCATTCTCGTTCTGTTTACCTGTGTATTATGTTTGTGTGCGGTCAGTGCAATGAATTCGTACTCAAATGCCTAATATTACGAGATGATAATGTGTGGCGGTGCTTGTGACGGTAACCTTGCTGCGGCTCGGCGGCGTTATGACGAGCGCCACGTGTCAGGAAGACCTGAAAACCATCGACGTCTTCCTTCTTACCGGTGATTCGCGACATTTGTGAATTGGTTACATACAACTGGTTCATTCCATAGTGTGCCACAGGTAGGCCGGCCGATCACCTATTCCATCGAGACAGAGGATATGACTTTACGTCGAGAGTAACACGACACGGTCTGTGTCGAGTCGAATGGAGACATGTGTTTTATGCGGTGGCCGGCATATCGAGACCCTGGACTGATAAAGTGGAGGTGAAGTGTAGGTAATGTTGACAAGTGAAAGCTGAAAGAGTGATTAGAACGCTATAGGTATGTACCTATTTAATCTTAAATTGTTTTAATTACAAGTTAACTCATACGTAGTCGAGTGCGCGCGTCGGCAACATCAAAATGTATTCAAGGAAACGAGAGAGTGAGAGGTAATGAGAGAGAGAGAGAGAGAGAAAGAGCGAGTGCGCCGGGACGGCACGTATAAGCTTACAGGGTTGTAGCATAGTAATTGAAAACAAATTGTTCAAATATTTGTATGAAAATATCAATTTACATGAAATTGTTTTTTGACCTATCAATTGTGTTCTTTGTGCTAGGTTGTATGGCCATGTTTCGGGATTATATAGGTATTACCAAACACGCTGTATATCTACTGTTTTAAATTATTTAAGGCAATTTGTTACGTAACAGGTAGCGTGAATGGCCAATATTATGTATGAATTCCGTTCACACTTCTCAATTCGATTTAAAAACTGATAAGTTGAGTATCATTATTGTATTAAACGGCGCTTGCCAATACTTTCTTGAGTTTACTTTTTAAATCTTTAATATATTATGGACCAGCTAGTTTATCAGGCATTACAAAAAATGTCCAATATGAAAGGGCAATATCAAATGAGGTTTTATTACAGTACTTTTTAAGATAGAGTGTGATTTTCAAAGTAAAGATCACAACTAAAGTGGATTTCGTCAATACATAATAATATTATAAAGAGGAAAAGTTTGATTAGGTAATTGTTTGCATCGAATAGGCTCCGAAACTACTGAACCGATTTTGAAAATTGTTTCACCTATGGGAAACTATAACGTTCGCGGGTGAAATCGCGGAAAAACAGCTATGTAGTATCACTTATATAACAATATACATTCTAAAATTGAGTATGATACTGAAATTAGGGCAAAGAAAAAATAAACACAGTTAAATTGAATTTTACAGTATAGCCCTTATATTATAAACATACATAAAATAGGAGAAAAAAGTATAGGGAAACCACAATTAATTTTCTCAAATCTAATTTAAGCTTTGTATATTATGAGTAGCTCGGTGGCGTAGTTGATGAGTCGCGTCCCGTGATCGTTGTTCTTAAGCAACTTTCGCACAATGGTCGGTCACGGGATGGGTGACCAGAAAAAGAAGAAGAAGACGAAGAAGAAACATTTATTGACCTCACAAAGACACAAACAAGATAATACATTATTAGGAACACATAAAACACAATAAAGATACAAAAGAAACAATAAGGTACATAATGAATAAAAGAGAAAGAAAGTGAGGTCAACCAGGACTCTGCCTCAGCTGGTGTTGATGCGACACGGAAAGCGCCACATCAACGCTGATATTCTGGCAGAGCCGATTGAAAAGAAATATTATCTCGAGCTACTTCGTGCTTTAAAATGCTGGCTGCATTATGCAGTCGCTAATACTCTCCAATCCGTATTGGGCTAGCGTGGCGGTTCATGGTCCATTTTCCATAAGGAATGCCTGTACCCTGCACTGGGTACGTATGCCTCATTCCATTGATAGATTTTGTCTTTTCTTAGTTATATGGCATAATTTATTATATTGTCGGTTTGTATTATTATAGCACAACAATATTATAATAATTAAACCTCATACTGTTTGCAGGAGTCTAGCAGGGAGCAAAAACAGAATTGAAACTAACTTGGTATCAAGTTCCGTTAAAGCTTTGGCAACTTAAAGCTGGTCAAGTTATAAATAAGTAGCGATGACTTTACAAGAACTTAGTGGGATATATGAGTTTTAGTAAGAAAGTCATTAATATTGAGGTGTATTGACATATATTATTTTATCACCTTATTATCAATTGATATTCTCGACCTTAGTAAGCATTATGTGATATTTTTCATTGCTGTCTATAAAGAAGATAAAGTATAGATTCTTTTATAAAAATCCATTATCTTCTTAATTTGCAGCAGAATTCTTTTTAATCAATTACTAACAACCCTTATTCCTTTTCATCTGTCGGCCGCTGTTTTTGCCGAATAGCAAAACACGGTACCGTTATAAATTCTTTAAGTCTGTCCTTCAGTCTATTCGTTTGTATCTCATAGTCGCTGTATTCCGAACTTTTTTGAATTACACGGCTAGAATTTAGTAAGCCGATGTATATATAAACCACTTTTCAATATTCATAAAAAAAAATCCCCCATGTACGAAACTGGATATAAAAAAAAAAACAAGTATAGTAAGGCAAGGTCTTTAAAAATTACATTAAAGTTACAATTTTTTTTTTCTCAAAATCAATCATTTTAAATATAGACACTTCATATTTGATAAAACGTGTTAGTTAAAATTATATTATCTTTTGTAAGCTAAAAAATAGGAGAAAACATTTATTGTTCCTTTTTAATCGACTTCAAAATCCAAAAGGAAGAGGTTATATGTGCGAGGTTATTTATGTTCACCGATATTTCTGCCAATCATTGACCGCTATTCAATTTTTTTTTATTCGACAACTTAATAAACCGACGTGGTCTCATTAAAATTTTACCAATATCAAATCAGTAATTTACTTTTATAACAAAACAAAATACGCTTTCACCGGATATTACTAAAATATTTATTAGACAATATATTTATTTATGTTTATTTTTTGAATTAATTCAAAATCAGGAAGGAGGATTTTCTATTTTTAAGGAGTATGTATATTTTTAATGATTATTTTTTTATGTTCATTGATTTTTTCTTGAATTCTGAATCAATTTCTATCAAAATAGCTGTATCCCCGAGAGTTGGCCTGCGTAAATTATAGCCTAGATCCAACGCGTATTATGTAACTTCCCGTAAATGAAAGACTTTTATATATCTGTTCAATAGTTTCGGAGCCTATCAAATACAAACAAACAAGATTTTAAATCTTACATTTTTATATTATGAGTATAGAATTATTAGAAATAATTATGTCGAGCAAATAAACAAATTCTCCTTTTCTATGATTTGCACTATGTATAGAACCCACTTCTAACTTTTCGTCGCTTTTGAACTAAGTATTATTTATCACTATTGTAAAAGTTCTAACTGTTTTTGTCCTATTTTTTATTTATTTTAATCAAGGAAACATTATAATATTTGTAATAAAGTTCAAGTAATTTCATGATGTCATTTAAAGCTGTTTCGACTTCACCAACTCACACACGAAAATCATAACACTCACACCGACGTCTTCAACGCTCTCATCGACGTCGCCATCATTCAAATTGACATCAGCGACACTCACAATGACTTCACTGACACTCCGATACGCCGACGACACTTACACTCTCTTCGACGTCACCAAAAATCCTATCGACGTGTTCGACGTTCAAAATGTCTTCACGTCGGTGAACTCGATAGTCACACCGACGTCTTATACTCTTGTTGATGTCACTACACTGTCTAGTACGTCATTTACACATCCATCGACTTCGATGACACTCACAAATTGCCACTGACACTTACAAAGATGCTTTGATATTCTTATAGGTGTCACCGACGGTCACACCGAACTAACAAACACTCATAATGACATCATACTGAATATACTATGTAGAAACACATTTAATCTTGCAAATAAATAAATTTGTTAAAAAAGAAGATTGCAAAATAAAGTTGTATTTTATGTGTGCGTTTGCCACCAAATTCAAATATCATTAATTAAATATACATTTATTTACTCTATATAATTACAAAATACTTTAAACATCCATAAACTACATACACATTCGCTACATAGAAGCCTTTCTCAATAATTATAATACGAAATAAATAGAAATTACGTCACAAAAAATTTACGGCAATCTTAAATGGAACCCTACGAGCAACATAATTTTCTCTCTTCGAATAGTAAGGGGAGACCTCCCATTATACACTGAACAACATCCGACTGTGGTATCACGCGATGGTGTCGGACTGTTTCCGGTGCAGGACGCACTGAAAACCTTGACAGCACCGCCGCTAACCCAGCTAGCGACTGCATGTGCCCCAAACGTTCACCTGTAATTACATCATAAAATTTTATAATTTTTACTGCCTAAAAGAATAGTAGTCAGATGGATTAATCTATATTTATATATGTATTCAATTTCTTCACGCCGTATCCCTGGAGGGGTAGGCACAGAGGACCGACCGCCGCAAAATACGGTCATAACATATATATTTCGTCTAATCCACTAATATAGTAATAATATAACTTATTATTTAAAAACTTAAATTCAGTGAGTAACTTGCATTATTCTATGCACTAACGATAGAAAAATCTACTCATAAAAAAGCGAAAAAATATGTGTATTTCCTCGTCTCCGATTTTATTAGCGCTACAAGTTTTCAAGTCAATTACTGTTAGAGAAAATTTTGATTTTAAGTACTTACCATTATGAAATTGTCTTGCATAAAATTATTATCTACGTTTTAGTGCCCACAAATAAAAGCTTGTTTTTAAAAATTTTCTTATTGTTCTTTACTTTTGTCTAATTCTATTCATTTCTATCATAGCATCTGTATTTCAAGGTGTTTTTCATTTTAATTTTATATATGATGTTGTTTTCATAAAGATGGATCTAAAGAGCCCAAACAAGTTGCAGTTGCGTTATTTCATTACTAAATTCCTATGACCACTTTTCAGCTCCATCATTACCAAATTTTGGTCTGGTGATGAATGAATGAATGCGCCCAGTACCAAAGTCCTCATAGAGCCGTATCTAACGAGCCCGTTGCGTCATTTCATCACTAAGTTCCTATGACCATAATATTGCATTATCATCTGACTTAAATTTCACATCTATCGGACATTGGTAAGTGGGTCAAATTGGAATTCCAAGAATTGCTCACTTATTTACAAGGCCAGTTAAATAAAAGTCTGTAAAAAGGCATCACTCACCAATACAAGCTCGTGGTCCAACGCCGAATGGTAGATAAATATCTTTTAATGAGTTGTTGAATACTTCAGGATCAAATCGCTCTGGACGAAATTCTTCAGGATTGTCGAAGTATAACGGGTCCATGTGTAGCGCCTGCAGTGGTACAAACACACGCACTTCCGGGTCTATTGTCAAGTTTATGTGTGGGAAGGTGTATTTCTTTGTACACTTCCTGATCAAATATCCAAGAGATGGGAACATCCTCATACCTTCTTTGAATGCCCAATCTAAGTATGTCATTTCTTTGATAGCATCATAACTGAGTTTGTTGTTGTGTTTAGCTAACACTCTATCGATATCTTCTTGCACTTTCTTTTGCACTTCTGGATGAAACGCTAGTTGATGTAAAGTGAAACTGGTGGCTGAAGAAGAAGTTTCAAATCCGGCTGCAAAGAAAACGAACACTTGTGCAGCCATCAGCTCATCATCCAGGACCACCGATGTTTCTTCTGGCGTACCATCAGGTTTACTTCTTTCTATAGACTGTCCTCTTAATATCCCTTTATTTTTGCACTCAAGAAGGAGATCAATAAAGTCATTTCTTCCGGAAGGTTGATAATTTCGTTGTTTTAAGATTGCTTTTACAATATTTGCTACTTCTAATTCAACATCTTCTAATATTTTAACATGTTTAAGTAGTCCTGGCACAAGATCATGTAAGAAAATAACCAACGAGTCTAATAAGCTCAAATGAAAAATTTTGATACCGAGTTTTCTAAAGGCGGAGTTCTCATCACTAAGTGAATCAGCATCGAGACCAAAACCGCAAGCGCCGATAAAATCAGTAGTGTAACGTGCCATAAGATCACGGGCATCGATGCTGCGGCCTTCTACAGCAGCGGCGGTCGTACGGCTCTGCAGCTTCTCAGCACGCTCAATTATAAGGGGAAACATGGCCCGTAACTTGCCACTCGTGAACGCTGGTGTTATTCGCTGTCGCAATAGTCGCCATATATCACCATCCGCAAAGAACAGGTTCCTTAACAATGGCTCTATTACATCCTCATTAAAATTTAGCCCTCGTCCATAAAAGTACAAAAAGTCGGTAGTCAACACTTGCTTGATAATTTCGGGATCCCTCAACACTAAGCTGGGATGGGAGGACATATATGTACCGACAACTTTTTCTTCGGGATACTTCTGGTAAGCTTCAACGCACATTTCTGTTAAACTCTTTCTGAGTAAATAATTTTTAGCATTTGTGCCGAAGAAAGGGATCGGTTTGTCATGTTTAACACCCTTATTCTTCCAATAGTTGTGATTTCTGGTGCCATAATAATATAGTGCTGTGAGTAAAATTAATAATAGTGCTATTAGTATCATCGCAAATGTAAAATCCGTAAGAACACCTCGTTTAATATCTGTCTACATAATAATGAACTGAAGTAGATTACGACAAATATATACTTCCTACAAATTACTCCTTAGATAGTGTTGTTTCTAGCGAATAATTTATCAGAGATAAACATATCAACAACTTAATTTGATATCATACGAAAAGACATTTAAAATGATAGAAAACAATATATCTACGAAATTTGGAGCTTATATTTTGAGTATCTAGTAGGTAAAAAATATTTACAAAGTCGTCAAACGTCACATGTAATTATGAAGATCGGTAGACATGTGGTTCCAAATATTTTACAATATAGTTTTGATTTATTGGTGTAGAGCAGAGGTTCCCAAACATTTTTGGTAAATATAACAGAGTGGTAAAAATAAATAAAAAATTGAATATTTTCTTGGGATCTATTTATTTAAATAATGATGATAACAGACTTAATAGAATTAAAATGCAACACTAATAACGTTACGTAACTTCAACAATGCAAATCAATAATAAAAAAATACCCATAATTTTAATGGGAGGGATGTACTTGATGGATAGAGAGCAAAATATCAATATTTGGCTTTAGTTTTGTAAGGATTAACCGGAAATCTCCCCGTTCTGTAATGTTTAATCTGCTCCTTTTTTTATAGGTGTGTAACGATACTAAAACTTTTTTGGACAAAGTATGACGAGGGAAACGCTATCAAAAGTTTTCTCGCAATTTCCCATGGCCCTGGATATTTTTCGGGTATTTCTGCCTGCAGCCAAAATCTTTGATTGCCTTTTTTAAATTGCACCTTCAGCTCTTCTTATAAAACCCCATCCGCAACTTCCGTTTCATCAAATAGATTTTTGATCCATGGTGGTATTTCCATCATAAAAATATCTTCAAATCTGTTTTCGAAGTCATCATGCAGCGCATTTAAATGTTGAACGTATATCTGAATATCTTCATCAAGACATGCTGTATGTGACAAGTTTGGAAACTGTGAGAATTTGCGCCGACTAATATTTTGCTTCATAAATATCAATTTTCCAAGAAAAGGCGAAATTACACTCTTTTTTTTTTATTAAATTTAGGCTATCCTCTTGTAACTGCAAGTTAGTCATTAAATTTGTCAAATACACGGTGTTTGCTTTCCATTTGATCTAGTTTTCTTTTAAATCTGGATCTTTACTTTCCAGAAACACTAAAACTGATGAGACTCAAAAAGTAAGTAAAACTTGTTAAACACGCATCTTTCTACAACCAGCGTACTTCAGTATGTAAAAGCAATCGTCGGAAGTCTTCATCATTTTCGTCGCACAATTGGGCAAATAGACGAGTATTCAACGCACTGCTTTTTATTTTATTAACAGATTTAATCCAAGTCGAAGCGATTTATGCAATCTATCACTCAAATTTTTCTCTACCAGGTGTTGTCGGTGGATGACAGTGTATTGCGGCTACTCCTGGTATTATTCTTTTAAGTTGGCTTATTTTAATTAAGATGACTTGACCAAATTTTAAATAATCAATACTGTACTGTCGATATTTCTTCTTAGATTCAGCCATGTTTCATATAAGTTAGCTACCTAAAAAAGTTAATCAAGTATAGTAATACTTTATTATCATAGTATAGCTAGAATGATTTACTTTCTGCCAAAATCTGTATCATCCTACAAAAAATAAAATAAGTATATAATTCATTCAAACATGCAGGTCAATCATATATCCCTCCCTTAGTGAATAACTACAGCCGGGTAAATAAATAATTGTATAATAAAAGTACAAAATAAATCGAATGATGGACCTGTTCAGTATTTAATTTTAATTAGATACGTACCTACTACACGCAAACATAACAAATATAATATTATTACACTCAAATAGGCAGAAAGGTACTTACTTTTCCGGGACCGGCAAACACTGAAATAGATTCACTCACACTTTTCTCTTCAAAATTCCGGAAACAAATTAGTAAAGTTTGTCTTTGACATTCGTATTTATATTGGTGATGAATCAAACAAGTTCATACAAGATTGTAAGCACAGCAGAAGTAGTATTTCGTAGTTGTGCACGTCTGAACAAGCATCGCGTGCGGGCGGGCGGCGGCGGCGGTGCATTGCAAGTATCAACACGCGTTGTATTGAATATTGAAAAAGCAAGTTTTTACAAGTAACGCACGCTGACCTTCTTACAATATTATCACCTACCTGCACATTGATATGTAGGTAAAGACAAGCCAATATTTCTGTTCTATACTATCGAAACCAGATAATTTCAACATTAGATTAATAATAAATTTTCGTGGACCCCATTTACAACTTGTGGCCCCTATTTTTATTTCGCGCCAACGGTCCACCTGGACCACTTAGGGAATTACTGTTGTAGAGTGAAAAACTTTCGCGTGAAGGGCAAAGAAAGCGTCGTACACAACTGGAAGGCATGGACAACTTCTATGGCCAGAGTCAAACATAATAAATAAAACTTATTAGCTTATCAAACCGGCCAAGTACAAATCAGACTCGAGCATGGAGGATTCTGTATCATTATCTGTAAAAAACCCAAAAATTAACGCTTCTATGATATCCTCCTTAAATAGTTGTTATATCGGTTCGTACGATGCCTTACTAGACCTATAATGGTAAAATGTGAAGGCGAATTGAGCTTATACAGTCCTTAAACGTACTCTCCTCAGTCAGTCCGAAACCCACAGACAGCACTACGCCATTGGACAAGTGAAACTTGGTCTGTACCATCTTTCAGTCATCGAATTAATGGAAATTTTATTGTTAAATAATGTTATGTTAGAAATTGGCATCTTATCTAATCATAATCAAATGATTAATTCACACTGCCAAATTAAACGATATGAACTCAAATACCCATTTAATTTTCTGTTATGAAACGAATTATTTCTTCATTTTTCTTATACAAATAAACTTTAGAAATTGAACAAATGAATGTAGTAGATATAATCAATCATCTATTTAATACTTTTCTTCAAACATTAGTATATTATTTAGAAAAATCATAAATATGTAATTAAGAAATATAAATACAAACAATTGTGCATTCTTCTCATAGTTAGGGGCATGCTAAGGAGAAATGCTGTGTATTACGCCCGGCAGGTGTTATAAGAATTACAAAGCTGCTAGCATGTGTGTAGGACCCAGTAGATATTAATTTAAGTCTTAGTTAAGAAATTACTCTAACTAAGTTTACTTGAGTAAAGATTATTTGATTTTAACTTGACATTATAAACATAAAGACGCTAGTCTTGTGATCAAACACAAAAGTTATCACTGTATGGTGATTTAACTACCTAAATATATTTATAGCATACGATTACATTTAAGTAGGGTGCAATTTCCAAAATATCCTGTTTGCCACCAGTCATCGTGACTGTGCTCGATTCTGGTCGTCATCATCAGGGTTGTCACTTTAACTTTTAAAAATATATGGTTTTTTGAAATAGTTCACTAATGTCGATCCATACTTAATAAATATATCATATAACAATATTTATTATCTTTGAAATTCACGCTGTTCTGAAAGAAAGTATAACTAAATCCTGCATGAATTGGTTCATAATGAACGAACACCAACCTTAACTTGCTCTAAACAAAAGAATTATTTAATGCACACAAAAGTATATATTTTGATGCGCACTTGGAAATGTTAGGTGCGCATTTTGTGTTGTGTTGTTGTTCGAATTATTTTATTAGCTAATTATATTTTAGATAACCTCAGCCGGATTTGTGTTCAGTAGCTCAAATACTGGTTTCAATGTGTAGATATCGTAATGGCTGTGTTCCATATCAATTCAGTTCAGTATAGGAAATGAATTGTTCTATTCTGTTAAAAAATAGCCTCGTGCTCAACTTCGAGTACAGCGCTCTAATAGCATGAACCGATATATAGAGTTATAACATATATGTATACAACGTGTCCCAAAATTCAACGATAAGCGGGCGCCAAGAGGTAGACCTGCTCATGTGTACTTCTGGAAAAATAAGAAAAAAATTATATCTTATTAACCTTTTTTATTATAAAATAAAATTCGAAAATTTTCGAAAGAGTTGTAGCGAATAGTAGTGCTACTTTGGTATCCGATACCAAAAAAAGATTGAACATAATTGAGAAGTTGTGGTCGTGGTAGTTGAAAATATCATAAAAGGTGTAAATTTTCGAAGATTTTCGAATTTAATTTTATAATAAAAAAGATAAGATATAATTTTTTTCTTATTTTTCCATAAGTACACATGAGCAAGGGTACCTCTTGGCCTCCGCTTATTGTTGAATTTTGGGACACGTTGTATATAGAAGTCAAGATTACCAAATATCTGCAGGTATTGTATTATTTCTTTGTTTCATGTTTCCTTATAAAACATTTTGTAATATGACATCTTGTCTGTTGTTTGTGACAACCTCACTAGGTTGGGACTTAAATTCGTTTATGTGTGCTCTTGAATTTACTGAGTCACGGTAGTGTGTGTCTGGACATAGCGAGTAGTTGACCTTCGGATAACGTCCCAAACAGCACCGTCATGCTGCGTTTGTAAATCGAGATCTAGTATCATAATGACCGTTATCTGTATGCAGTTTGTATTAACAAAGAACAGTACATATATGTGTATTCCAGAGGTCATGTAAGGTGACAAGATTTTTGCACTTCAAAAGATGATGAGTCAGAGCTGTTAAATGACTAAGCTACATACACACATATTATCATATATTTTTATATACTGTATATTAAACAATTGTCTAAATTTAAAATAGATTTGACATAGTAATGCCATTTCACTAACTGTGAAATGACGGTATCTTGGTACTTCCATAAACAAATGGCAATCAATCTCACAATTACCACCAACACCTATCAGCCTTTCGCTTCCGATTGGCCGCATCTCTCAAGTGTGATCACATCATTGCTAATAAAATTAAACAAAATCATACACTACTCTACACTAATCACATGAAATTTTGATGAACACTTTTTGATAAATAATACACAACAGCACGTTAGGCTACCTTGATGTATCAAATTTTCACAGTTGATTATAGTCCTACCCTTACCACAATAAGCTTTAAAATTAAGTGGATTTGTCAGTTTTGTATTATTTGATGTGCTGTAGACTGTACTTCAAGGATCATCTATCAATGTATATGGCGATATAAATAAAATAATGAAGTCTAATGTTTCAAATTCAAATAATGTTTTAGCGCTCTTAGAATATTACATGAACTTTAAACTATCTTTGCGATTACTCTACGTATCATATTATATTAGTCAAATTATATCAAATTAATTTTTCTACTTTCCTTTTAATTTTAACATTCTTCCTTTTGGTCTATTTAAATAGCCTCTGAAAAGATCTAATAAATCAAATAAAAATTGTATATATCAAGTGTTTGTTTATGACAAATCAATAAGGTTACTTTAATTTACAATTTACCAGTAATGAAAAAAAAGTACAGTGATCTGACCTCGAGAATGCCTTTTTTCTAGCATCACCCATTTGCAACCTGGAATAAAATGCCTTTGATAGTAATATTATTAATATCTAATTGGTTTTGATGACATTAAGTAAACATGAAAAAAAGATATTGAAAAAGGATAATGTAATGTTGAATCTATTTATTATTCTTTTGTTTTATATGTTTTACATTCTGTCGAAATATGTTAATCCAATTTAATAAATAAATATACTTCAAAAATAAGGACACTCTATAAGGGTAAGTTCAGAAGCAATAAAGATGATTCGCTTACTTTATTGTGTAACAATGATGAAATATAAAATAAACGAAACGGCCTCCGTAGTCGAGTGGTTAGATCTCTGATGTCCCGGGTTCGATGCCCGGTTGGATCAATGTAGGATCAATTAACTTTTCTATGTTGTCTCGGATCTGGGTTGTTGATTGCTACTCATCTTGGAATCTGAGCAACCTATTCGATGTTGTCTAATATTTATGAATTTATTTAATAACATCACAGCATGTGCGATTATATCTAACATACATATATTCATTTTTATTTCAATGTAATAATTAAAAGTTATTTGTGAAATAAGATAAAATAAAAAACACTCTCTTTCTTATCTCTGAAAGTAGTGGTTCTAATAATTAGGAAAACACAGTTCATTACGTTTATAAAACTTGTAAGGAGTTTACAGTTTTCTTATATAATATTTCAACGGGACTCTCGTTGCGTGAGTCCGATCGCACTTGTCCAGTTGTTTTAATAATACAATATCTTATCACTCACCGATGACAATCATAATCATGATGAATGGACCATTATTGTACCCTAACAAGTTATAATTACAATTTTGAACTTCGTCCGCGATATTTTGACATTATTTATCAGTGTAATTAGAAAAAATATCCCCATGAGATATTTCTTTATGACTACTGATTAAGCATGACTATGCATTAACGAGATATTTAAATTAGGTTGGAATTATATCTGCAGATAAAGATATGTATTTTGTAGCCTAAATCGCCATATATATAGAGGGTGATAGGTATTAATACATTTAATTAACATCGGTCACAAAAAAATGAGTACGGGTACGTCATTTCTAAAATAGTCTAGTTAAAATAGATGTACTCAAATAAAGGGTACCGACATTAAATAGAAGACAATCTTAAATAAACTTGGTTAAGCCTCGTGGATGCATGGAGTGTCCGATGCAGTAACCGCCCAAATCTACTCAAAGGGTGACCTCTTGATCCTAAAAAAATTCTTGAATGGAGTTTAGAAAAGGCGGCAGACCATCCAGGAACACGGGAAGGTCGCTTAAGTCAAAGTGACGCGTAATACGCCTTATTGAAGGCCAATAACCATAATCATTGGTTTGGAACACGAAATAGGCCTACTAAAATTAGGTGGGGGACATTTAACGTCTTTTGGTCGAGTTACCTCGTCCTTTTTAATTTGGATAATATAATCTAAAATAAAAATACACCTAAATAATAATAAAAATACGCCAATCAATATAAAAACTTGATTATATTGACCAGCGTATATATATTTACCCGACCACTCAACGTAAAGAAAGGGTATTGTGTTTATCATGCCCTAAGGTTGATAATGTGTTGTTTTCGGTTTCAAATTTTAGGTTTCCGAACACAAAGTGTAAAAACGGGATCATATTATAAAGTCTCTGCGGGTCGTCTCTCCGTCTATGTGTTTGTCGCCAGGCTCATAAACCGTGGTAGCTAGACAGTTGAAATTTTCTCACTATATAGTAAAAAAACAAAATTCAATAAATATTTAAGTAGGACTACCATAAAAAAAAACTTCTTTTTTTCGTTTTTCATACGGTACGAAGCCCTTTGTGCTTTTGACCGAATCACATTTGACCGGTTTTTCTAACATGATATAAACATTGATCTCTAAATTAAAAGTATCTATATTGTCATGACAATTACATACAAAACTAAAAAATTTCAAAAAACGTGAAATATATATATATATAATAACAACCGATGTAAAATAAGATAGACAGTGAAAAAAGGTTAAAAATCGATAAAGTATTTCTAATCGAAAATTTATCATAAGAAAGTTTATTTTGGTTTCTGTTTTGATATACTAGTAGTACGCATTCAAAACATAACCACTTGTTGACTAGTCAAGCTTCAAAAATATCATTTCATTGATTGTATGAGTTACTCTGGTTAGAGTATATATATATGCCGCAATTTATCAATTTATAACCAGTATATAGACTGACCACTCACAGAGTCGTCGTATTATCGCTCACACGATGTTAATATTATTCGCGCTCTTAGTTGTTGCGCTAACGGCGCTGTACCTTCATAGTACCAGACATCACAAATATTGGGTAGAAAAGGGTGTCAAACATGACAAGCCAATCCCTTTCTTCGGTACAAATGCTAAAAATTATTTACTCAGAAAGAGTTTGACGGAAATGGCCGTTGAAGCTTACCGGAAATATCCCAAAGAAAAGGTCGTTGGAATGCACATGGCCTCTTGGCCTGTATTAGTTTTAAGGGATCCTGACATTATCAAGCAAGTGTTGATTACGGACTTTGTATACTTTTACGGACGAGGGCTTAATACACACGAAGAGGTAATAGAACCTCTGTTGAGGAACCTGTTCTTCGCTGATGGTGATCTATGGCGGTTATTGCGACAGAGGATGACGCCGGCTTTCACGAGCGGCAAGTTGCGAGCCATGTTTCCCTTAATAATTGAACGCGCTGAGAAGCTGCAGAGTCGTACGGCCTCCGCTGCTTCTGAAGGACGCACCATCGATGCTCGTGATCTTATGGCACGTTACACAACTGATTTTATCGGGGCTTGTGGCTTTGGTCTTGACGCTGACTCACTCAACGAAGAAAACTCCGCTTTTAGGAAACTCGGCAAGAATATTTTTAAAATAGGATTAGCAGAATCTGTAACAGTATATTTAAAAGATTTATGCCCGGCATTGTTTAAGTATGCTAAGTTGTTAGGTTCCGTTGAAGGCGAATTGATAGATCTTGTCAAATTTATTTTAAAAGAGAGAAATTATCAACCCTCCGGAAGAAATGACTTTATTGATCTACTTCTTGAATGCAAAAGTAAAGGACTGTTAACTGGAGATTCTATAGAAAAAACTAAACCCGATGGCACGCCAGAAGAGACATCGGTGGTGTTGGATGATGTGCTCATGGCTGCACAAGTGTTCGTTTTCTTTGCAGCTGGATTTGAAACTTCTTCGTCAGCCACCAGTTTCACCTTACATCAGCTAGCATTTAATCCGGACGTACAAAAGAAAGTGCAAGATAATATCGATAGAGTATTAGCTAAACACAACAACAAACTCAGTTATGAAGCTGTCAAAGAAATGACATACTTAGATTGGACATTCAAAGAAGGTATGAGGATGTTTCCGTCCCTCGGGTTTTTGATTAGAAAGTGTGCAAAAAAATACACCTTCCCAAATATGGATTTAACAATAGACCCGGGTGTGCGTGTGTTTATACCACTGCAGGCGCTACACATGGATCCTCTGTATTTCGACAATCCCGAGGAATTTCGACCAGAGCGTTTTGATCCTGAAGTTTTCGACAGCAAATTGAAGAACATTTACATGCCCTTTGGTATCGGACCACGAGCGTGTATCGGTGAGTTTGAAAACTGTCTTACAATTAGATGTTTTTTTTTACCATAAGAAACTATTTTAACCCTTCTACCATAATTAACAAACGATGGGCTTCAGTATGAATAGAACTTTGAAGCGGTATTTTTTTTTATTATATATTGTAGTAATAATAAATTATTTTTAGTTACAAAATGTAAATTTTAAGTTAAGATGATGTTGATAATTTCAGGTGAGCGTCTGGGGCATATGCAGTCTCTGGCCGGGCTGGCGGCAGTGTTATCGAAATTCTCAGTGCGGCCAGCACCGGAAACAGTGCGATATCCACGTGTAGATCCACCCTCGGGAGTAGTGCAGAGTATATTAGGAGGTATTCCTTTATTATTCGAAGAAAGAAAATCATCATAGTTATCTGTTCAAGAATCTAAGAACAAATAAGCAATATTTGGATGAAATATTCATATAAAATCTATTGTTTAAAAAATTACTGTGGATATGTAATTTGTAATAGAAAAATGTTCAATTATATACAAACTGATGCTGCGCACTAAAGTAAAGAATAATTATTTTGAACGATATTTTAAGCATAGTAGTTTTTATAATAGGTACATGGATCTTTCAAGTTATACAAAAATCCTTTTTGAAAGAGTTCATAAGAATAAAGGAGGCAAATTATTAGTATATGTTGTTGTGAGCCTTGTTGATTATGTCGCAGTGATTGTTGTTTCAGAGACATTGCTAACACGAATATACTGTACGCAATGTAGCTTTATGTCTTTTATGATAAAAATGTATAATTTTTTAACTCGTTGGAAACTAATGACTGATTTGTATTTTATGTAAGAGTATTTTTTTTATAATTTTGTTATAGATTTAATTTTATAGAATAGTTACTCGTATATGTATTTTATTGTTAACTAGCTGTACTGTATTATACAAATAAACCTTCTTCTTAAATCTGTTTGTTGACAAAAACCCAAATAAAATTTGTTATATAGTATAAAAATATCAGCGTAAAGACAATGGGAAGCGACATTATTTTATACTATGTATATAAGTAGATATACAACCCTAGATGTTAACCTTCGGCAAAGAAGTTATTACAAGAAGAGAGAAGAAGAAGGTTTGATATTTTAAATGAAATGCTCCATTCGGTTTTACCCGTGGTGGCATTATGTTGTTAGAACATTTTTGATGAAACGCTATTAAGATTTATAAAGATTTATTTATAGATAGGACGATTTCAGATTAATTGTATAATAAAGTACTAGTTGTTTTGGAAAAATATTGAAAAAATTAAATATTTTTATAAAAACTTTTGTTTCTTTAATTAAAACTTAAATAAAAGATACTTAACGTGATTTTATTTTTTATCATTGTTATTTTATCTAGCCGTTATTAACTTGAAGCTAAATTTGAAGCGCGTTTTGCTGTTTGTTGAACTATCAGATGAATAGGCGTTATTAATGACTACCTTGACGTGTATAAAGTTTTATACTGCAATCAGTATTTCTTTTATAGTAATTAAATTTTACACGATTTATCTATGAATTTAAAATTATTATTAGGACGGTCAGATAATGAGACACATGAGAGGTCCTACAAAGTTTTCATCTTTTTAACTGAGTTAGGGAACCTTAATAAAATCAGTAGTTTGTCACAATATACAATAAATTCATCAATTCATAAGTGTGAAGTAGGGACACCGTTATATAATATACAGTGATTTTATACATTTGGGTATCACTTGGAGATTAATAATTCTATTTAAAGACAAAAACTATTTCTACACTAACGTGATAAAGATAAGATTGGTACAGTTTCTTTTTGGGCATCCACAGCCGAATGATAAAGAAAATGAACCTATAACAGATTCACCATGCCCGTTTGTTAGCGTAATTATTTACATAATCGATTCGTTTCTTTCCAGTAACGAAACGAGACACAATAACGACAACGCAAACGAGTATAAAATATCACTTCAACTACAGCCCTTTATGACTCAGTTCTTGTAAATTGATCACAAAACAATAAATAAATATGTTTTCAGGTAGCTAGTATTAATGGCAAAATGCAAGAATTTGAAATTCTATTTAGATTATTACATAAAGTTGTAACGGGTTCGATGCTTGGGCAAATGAACGAAAGGCTGACTAAGCTTGAAAATTTGATTTTATTATACAGTAATAAAGAAAAGGGTAAAGAAAAAACCTGTTTCTGGATTTTCTGTAATATATAAACTTGAACGATATTTCACGAAGATATACTTTTAGATTAACAATTTCTAATTAAAATTATAGTAATTTTTTTTTTTTATACTTAAATTGATATGATTACATTATCATGTTCATACCAGAAGATTTTTTACGAACTGACATTTATAAAGAGCATATTGGATTAGTCAAAATTTCAAACTATGAAACGTGAATAATAAAAAGAAATGATGTTGAATATCAAAGACAAGAAACTGCACCTAGGACGAAATAAACGGTGGTAAGGCACACCGTTACTTACAATGTTAATGAGGCCCTGTGCATTGTCACAGTGTTTTCGGAAGTATTAACACTACACGAGTGCATCCTGGTAGGTAATGTAAAGCATGTTAGCAAATTTTTATAATAATACATATCAGAAAAATGCATACTAGGTACTTAATAAAAAAAAAAATACAAAAACAAAACGTCATAAATCGAGTGAGCAATGTTTTGCCGCTCCATCCAAAACCGCGCATCGCGTACTTTTGTATACTACTAAAAATAAAAATTTGTTGTATAGTGATCGGTACTTTTTGTAGATAATGATAATAATATTTATTTATAAATTACATTTGGTTAGTATAATATTGCTTAAATTATTTTTTTTTACCTAGTTTCTTTTATTTATTTTTTCATATATCACCATTAGTTACATGGTCTGTGTCTAAACATTTTTAGTTTATGTCTGAACTAGGGCGACTTGTGTATCAGACGAGTAGAGTTAACATAGTTTATAATATCACTAGCTTTAGCCCGCGACTTCGTCCGCGTGCTAAAGTTACTTTGAGCAGCATTTGTAACGAATATTTATTCATTGTATCGTGTAAAATACCTGGAATAAAGTTTCATCCCCTATTTTATCTCCTTCGGGGAAGAATTGATCAGGATCCTTTCTTAGAGGATGCTTAAGTCACAGTAGCTTTATGCATGCAAAGTCTCAGCCCTATCGGTTTAAAATTGACAAAGTTTCGTACAAACTTTCATCCCCTATTTTATCCCTTTGGGGGTAAAATTGATCAAAATTATTTCTTAGCGGATGCCTACGTCAAAACATCTACCTACATGCCAAATTTCAGCCCGGTCCGTCCAGCGGTTTGGGCTGTGCGTTGATAGATCACTATGTCAGTCAGTCACCTTTGAGTTATATCGTATATAGATTACTTCTTAATCAACACACATTCTATCTTACATATTAAAAATAAAACAAAGAAATTAATAATAACAGCTTAATAAAACTTACTTTAACACAATTAAAAGCTTCTCTGTGTCCTCATACGACATCGTTTGCAAAGTTTCTTTAATATTTATCTTACAATTTATAAATTTTAGTGAGTGAATATGCGCTATAGACTTTAATCTATTGTGAAATAACGGATCTAGGAACATATAGAATTTTGTCGTAAATACGCATTTCACTTTAATTTTTGAGTGCAAACTTTATCCTTTTGTCTTTAACACTGATGTATTATTAATAGAGGGAGGGGGGCTACTTTTGACAGCGACTGTAATAAAAAAGTTTTGTAAACCGTGTCTTATTAAATAAAAAGGCGCGATGTTAGAAGTTTTATAATTTTAGAAATTCTTTTAATACCTACATAAAATAGTTCAAGGAAATGTTTTTTTTTATTTCGCTATAACCAGGTATTATTTAGTATCCTATTATGTAAGTCAGCTAATAATACCCTATCTGTATACCAAATTTCATCAAAATCCGTTCATTAGTTTCGGCGTGATTAACCAACAAACATCCAAACAAAGAAACTTTCACATTTATAATATTAATAGGATATAAATAATACCTGGGTATAGCAAAATGGCTGGGCATCATCATCATCATTATCCTAATAAGTTTCCCACTGCTGGTGTACAGACCTTTTCTATGGGTGGAAACGAATAGAGAGAACGAGGCATGACCCACCACGAGATCCCAATGGGTCGATGGGTGTGAACAACTAGATTAATAGCTCAATCCAGAAGCTCAAATGTGCCACCACTCATTTAATGAAAATATAACCAGTTATATACAAATGGTATAGCCAGACAGATTTTATTACAAGTTTATGCATACTAGTATATGCGAAAAGATTTTTTCCCCAACCTAAAAATTATTTGATGTTATTTAAATAAACACTTAATATATTGCAACCTGTCTTTTTCTATATTAAAACTTGATGTGATGAATGAAAGTAAAGCTAATAATAAGATATAATGTGTGTGGTAGTGGTGTACAATATCCAAGTTAAAAAAATAGATATTACATAATATTTTTTTTTTAAAACATATCATATCTAAGAACGCTACGTTTGCACTACCACACATAAAGACCGACACACCCACATAATTATACCTACCAATGCGTCTGCGCATAAATTATTATCTGCTTTAGTTTATTTATATTGTCTGCCATTTGTTTATAATTATATCGTTTAAGTCAAAGGTCTCTGCAAAAGGTCGAATAACTGAGGTGACGACAGTTATTTAATAGTACTGTCAGGTCTAGTTGTGATTTTAGATTATCATGACCCAAGTATTTGTTTACTTATAGCTGCTTGTAAAGAAAATATAGAAAATCATCAAAAGTAATGACGCTCACGTCGATGACAGAGAAACGATAGGCGCTGACATATAGTGCGCGTTAAAAACATTTTTTTTTATTCATTACCTAATCAAAAACTATTATGAATGCTACACATAGGCCTATATGTCGAATAAGATTTAGTAGCTAAATGAAAAAATAAAATCATCAACCCCACACACTTCTGAGCATAGCATACCCGTACGACACATACTGCTTAGCATAAACCTTCCTCTAAGATCTCCTCGCTGATCTATCCTGCGTTGCGTTATCTTGCTGCTTCAGGAGAAAATATTTCCGTCCAAGTTTGTAGGTGGTGAAGGAGGTTGTGTAGAGTACTGTTAGTATTGATTTATTGACGTTTAATTACAGCGAAAATGGTGTCCAATGACTTCGAGACCCTAACTTTGAAGAGTTCCCGGGGCAGTCGGCCCCGGGAAATAGGCCTTTTAAGAATTTAGCTAGCTCTATACGAGCTCCAAAAAGCTAACTTGGGCAACTGTTGCCGTTGAAGTCTTGAAGAACTACACCGACAAGGCTTTGTATACTTGAGGGCGAGCTCAAATTTGGAAGTAAATGATTTCAATTTAGAACCCTAAATAATCAAAAACTAAAGGGTTTCAATACCTAAAAATGACAAACCGTGAGTCAATTTGCATGAAGAATATCAAATATAACCATAGCAATGAGGAAAAACTGGGATATCGATTTGGAATCATCGCCATCTTTCATTAATTTCATTTTCATTTTACATGTAAAAATTAATTTATTTACTTGACATTGGCAGAATTGTGCGAAATGCGCAGATAAGCCATTAATTAAAAAAAGAAGAAGAAGAGGAAAAACTGTCATGTCAAATCTGTCAAAACAATTAAAATTAGCTATAAATTGTGTTTTATTATATAAATAAATGCTTTAATATGATTAGAATTCGTAAAATGTATAACGAAAAACTATGAAAGCTACAGGTAAGGGTTTACATTAGTGTAAGTAGGCAAAAACATAGGATGAACTTCGATAACTTGGATAAGTTTATATTACAGAATTTTAATGGTTACAGGTATAAAATTGAAGGTCCATAGATATAGAATGGAAAAGTTAGGAATATAAATGGAATAAAACTAAAAAGTATGAACATAATTAGTGATATGCATCTAAGGAATGAAAACGACACAAAAGGTTAGTTACGACACGCTTAAACCAAATTTGTGCTATTCTCACAGAAACTGAACTAGGCTCATATACGTCACCATTTTTATTTCGCTTCTTGCATTGTATTTTTACCTTTCTGTAATAAATAACCTTCCATGTGTCTGATTGGATGCCATTAATTTATTCATCTATAACAACAAATACTAAAACTTTGAAAAAAATGAATATTTAAGAAGCTCCCACAAAACAAACGTGATTTTAGGTGCGGCTTGTTTTCGGTACAGAACCCTTTATGAGCGAATCCGACTCGCACTCGGCCGGATTTTCATTTATTTTTAAGCAAAAATAAAAGAAAAAGATTTCTTATTGCAAAAAAAAACTGAAAGAATAATTATTCCGAAGCCAAATGCACTTTCCTCAGTTTGTTCTCTCTATTTACACATAGTATAAAACAATGTCGCTTCCCTTTTTAACTACACAACGAATTTAAATGCGAGTTTAATTTATATACAGAGCGAATTAAGAGAAACTTTTGTATAATACAGAAACACGCAGGCAAATCAGTTGGTGGGTAGTATAACTACCTACAACAAACATGGTTTGCAAATTAGATTCTGTATTGAATGTTCATTACCTAAAATTAATATCGAACCTAAGCAAGATAAAAGTATAATTTCGAGGTTAGCCCGTGATTTTTATCATTATTTGTTAATGTTATCAGGAAGAAGTGACAGATAGATTTCCTTTTTTTATTATATGTCTATTTTCTTTAATAATCATGACTAGACATATAATTTATCTTTAACTATGTTTGATCTGGATTTTAATGTTATAATATTTAATGTCTTTCATTGGACATTGCTCAGATCCTAAAAACCGGTGGACCCAGAGCCAAAAGGCAAAAAAATATTATTGTAATGATAAAATAGAGTTTTAGTTTCATATCTTGTCAGGTTAAAATAAAAATTATGTCAAACTATTTATGTTTATGGGCTATTTTCGACGATTTCTTTTGAAGTCAGTATATTTGCATAAAGCTTTTTAGATTTGTTTTTCTACTTTAACCTAAAGTTTATAATATATCATGTATTGTTTTATTTATTTCAAAATATTTAAAATATATTATATCTTAAAACTACTGGCTTTAGCTATATAACCTTTCATTCAATGTTCAAAAAAATTTATAACATTATCTTGATTTTTCACTTTCAATAAAATAGCTATTACACATGGACGGACAGACGGATAGACGGACAGGCAAACTTTTGCTGATACATTTTAAATTGTTTGAATGTTGATTTTAGTAATTATCTCAATATATTAACTACGCAGGCAAAATATTACCACGTGTTTTCAAATTAATTAGGTATTTGAAATATTGTTTATTGATTACACGAATCACTTTACGTCAAGTATATATTCATCTCAATTTAGTCATTTATATCTAGTATACAGACTGTCGACTAACAGAGCTGTAGTGTAAACGCTCTCGCGATGATAATATTTGTCGCTCTCTTCGTTATCGCGCTAACAGCGTTGTATTTATATGGTACAAGAAACCACAAATACTGGCTAGATAAGGGTGTTCAACATGATAAACCAATCCCTTTCTTTGGCACAAATGCCAAAAACTATTTACTCAGACAGAGTTTGACAGAAATGGCCGTTGAAGCTTACTGGAAATATCCCAAAGAAAAGGTTGTGGGAGTATATTTGGTATCTTGGCCTGCTTTAGTGTTAAGAGATCCTGATATTATCAAGCAAGTGCTCACTACGGACTTTATATACTTTTATGGACGAGGTCTTAATACACACGACGAGGTAATAGAGCCAATGTTGAGAAATCTGTTCTTTGCGGATGGGGATTTATGGCGATTGTTGCGGCAGAGGATGACGCCGGCTTTCACGAGCGGCAAGTTACGTTCCATGTTCCCTCTAATAATTGAACGTGCTGAGAAGCTGCAAGCTCGTACAGCTTCAGCTGCTGCTGAAGGCCGCACCATCGATGCTCGTGATATTATGGCACGTTACACTACTGATTTCATTGGAGCTTGCGGTTTTGGTCTCGACGCCGACTCACTCAATGACGAAGATTCCGCATTCAGAAAACTTGGCAAGAATATATTTAGAGTACGATTAATAGAATCTGTAATAATATATTTGAAAGATTTATGCCCGGTATTGTTTAAGCATGCTAAGCTGTTAGGTTCTGTTGAAGGCGAATTAATAGATCTCGTCAAAGTCATTTTGAAACAGAGAAATTATCAACCCTCCGGAAGGAATGACTTTATTGATCTTCTTCTTGAGTGCAAGAATAAAGGAATATTAACAGGAGAGTCGATAGAAAGAAGTAAACCCGATGGCACGCCAGAAGAGACATCAGTAGTGCTGGATGATGTGCTCATGGCTGCACAAGTGTTCGTTTTCTTTGCAGCCGGATTTGAGACCTCTTCTTCCGCCACCAGTTTCACTTTACATCAGCTAGCATTTAATCCAGAAGTGCAAAAGAAAGTGCAAGATGATATCGATAGAGTGTTAGCTAAACACAACAACAAACTCAGTTACGATGCTATCAAAGAAATGACATATTTAGATTGGACATTCAAAGAAGCTATGAGAATGTTCCCTTCACTCGGGTTTTTGATTAGAAAATGTGCAAAGAAATACACATTTCCAAATATGGATTTGACAATAGACCCTGGCGTACGTGTATTAATGCCACTGCAAGCGCTTCACATGGACCCACTGTACTTCGAAAGACCTGAGGAATTTCGGCCGGAGCGTTTTGATCCTGAAGTTTTCGACAACAAATTAAAGAACATTTACATGCCCTTCGGGATCGGACCACGAGCGTGTATCGGTGAGTAATAACATTTGATCAGTAATGATTTATATTGTATTCAATAGCAAAAGTTCTTTTTGTTAGTGCTTCTAATATAATCTATGTAAGATATACTTAGTGCCAACCCGTATAACAAAGCGGTTATTTTTCCAAATTTAATTTTAATTTCGTATAATGATTGTTAATATTAAAAACGATTTCAAGTTTAGACGCTTACAATTTCAGGTGAGCGTCTGGGGCATATGCAGTCTTTGGCCGGACTGGCGGCGGTGCTATCAAAGTTCTCTGTGCGGCCGGCACCGGAAACAGTTCGACATCCACGTGTGGATCCACCCTCAGGAATAGTGCAGAGTATATTAGGAGGTCTGCCATTATTATTCGAAAAAAGAAAAATATGTATGTAGCTCATAGTTTCCTGTTCAAGAAACGTACGTTTCGTGTTATCATTATTTAAAAAAAATGTATTTAGGATCAATGCTATTTTGATTTTTTCAATCATACCACGATTCAGGCGACTAATCTAACCGATTGAGCTACCCAAGACTTGTGACACAAGGATTCTCAGGTACATGAGACAAAGTCACAGTCATTTATTTTTAAATTATTTATTGATTTAATTTTTGTAAGCTATCTTAATTATGTATGTTAGTAATTGTGTCCAATTCATTACTAAAACGGAATTACTGGTCACGAAATGTATTATTAATGATAAAATAAGTATGTATCTAACTGATTAGGAACCTAATGACTGATTTGTATAGTAAAGATGCATTTTGTTAGATCGATTGTACATATGTTTAAAGAAGTATAAACGTATCTTATAAAAGTACCTATCTTTCTCACAGAAAGATAGGTACTGAATTATCTATATTTCTCACAGAGTTGAGGTAAGAAAAGAGTTTCATAGCCTAAAAATGGAAATTGGCTTTCTGTCAAATCGGATGAAACTATGATGAATGGATAGAGGAAGTCTTCTTGAGTAAAAGTCCTCATGGGCACTAAGCCCGAAAATCGAAACTTTTAGTACTTTTGGGCATTCGAAGTTTTTGATTTTGGATTCTAGCAAAATCAATAAATCCTTGTAGAATCGGCCCAAAGTTCAATTAGACATAAAAGAAAAAATACGTATCGAATATTTTTTCAAGACCTTTCGAACGACACCCTATTTGACCCCCCCCCACTCCCCCACCTACGGGGGTGGAAGGGGAGCGGTTTTTTGCGAAAAAGTTCTTTTATAATGTTATAATGGCCTCATGATTGACGGAACACTTGAGCCGTGCCCGATCGACCCCCCCCCCACCCCACCCACCCACCACACGCGGGGGCGGAGGAAAGAGCTGTTTTTCGCGAAAAAGTTCTTTAAAAGCGTGTTCATGGCCTTTTGAATGACAAACACTCGAGCCATGTTTACTCTAATGGTTTGGGTCGAGTGTCCACTTGATGTTGGGAGCGGATGGATGTACGAAGGTATAAATTGCCATAAAGATTGCAAAACTGCATATACATTACATATGTTCCGAAAAATACAACTTCACATTAAGATTTTTAATGTTTTTAGGAATATTATCTTTATGGCATTATGTATATTATCAGGTACTCATGAATACCTACTAGGATGGTTTCAACCACGATTGTAATCATGAGAAATCGTATATGAAATAAATATTTTTTTTCATTTTTTTTTTCATTTTTTCATGGCATTGTGAACTTTAGGTTAATTTTGACGCTATTAGCACTCTGACTTCCTAAAAGACGTTCTTATGTTTTTTCTTATTCTTTTTTGACAGAATTTTTTGTGTAATTTGTTAAATCATAACTTTTTCCTAATGTACCGATTTTTTTTTATATTTGCTAACAGGTTAAATTAAAGCGAGGTGAGAATATATTATGCTATTCTTTTATTAAACTCGACCTTGAGTACAGTGCTGTCCCAGCATCGAGGTTCAATTTTTGTATTATATTATTTTTTTTGCATTTAAATAAATAAAATACCGATACCATCTAGACAAAAGTTGAGGATGTGAGCGCCGTATCTATATTAGAATGATATTGTTCTTTTAATCCATACCTAAATATCTAAATAAAATCCCTTCTGAAATAACTCAAAATGTTCCTAAATAGTACTGAGCTCGGGAAAAGTGCGATCGGCCTACGAAACCACTTGGTTTATTTCCAATTTTATCAAAATATTTATAAAGAATAATTAGAATATTATTTAGGTATTCCATTTTAGTTATAATATTCCATATTTTGTAACTTTTCTCTATTTTCTCTATATTTACATAATACAGAAGATTATGCAAATTTCTAACTCGAGCAACCCCCCTACCAGATGGACTGAAGATCCTATAAAAGTTGCGGGAAGCCGCTGGATGCAGGCAACGTAGGATTGATCAGCGAGGAGATCTTAGAGGAACGTTTATGCTAAGCAGTATGTGTCGTACGGGTATACTATGCTCAGCATTGGGTGGGGTATGGTAAATGATTTTATTTTTTCATTTGGCTACTAAATCTCATACGACATATAGGCATTTTTGTAGCATTCATAATAGTTTTAGATTAGGTAATAAATAAAAAAAAAATGTATTTAACACGCGCTATATATCAGCGCCTATCGTTTCTCTCTTATCGACATGTGCATCATCACTTTTGATTATATTCTATATTTTCTTTATACGCTATAAGTAAACAAATGCTTGGGTTATGAAAATCTAAAACGACAGCTAGACCTTATAGTAGTATTAAATAATTACTTTTAAAAAATGTATCGTCACCTTAGTTATTCGACCTTTTGCAGAGAACTTTGACTTAAACGACATAGTTATAATTAAGTGACAGACAATAAACTAAAGCAGAGTATAATTATATGTGGGTATGTAGGTGTTGACGTGTATGCGTAGAGTAGTGCAAACGTAGCGTTGTTAGATATGAAATGTTTTTATAAATTTTATTGTTTAAAAAACTGGGTTATTGTTTACCACACTAAGCAACACTATTTCTTATTATTAGCTTTACTTTAATTCATCATGTGTTTGTTTATATATATAATAAGGAAAATGTGTGATTTTAATTGTTTTTCTTGCTGTCAAAATAAGTGAACCTAATGAAGAAATTCGATACATTTTAAATTTTTATTATAAAAAAGGTTAAAATGCAACGCAAGCCGCGAAGGAATTTGTGATGTTTACGGACCTGGTGCAGTTTCTGTGAGTAGCACAAATTTGATTTCAGCATTTTATTCTGGAAATTTCGATATCAAAGATGCACGTCAACTCACAACTAACCCGGGTTAACTCACAACAAGGTGATGCTGTGTATATGGTGGGATTAAAAGGGCATTATTCATCATGAGCTGTTACCACCAGGTAGGACGCAATACAGCAAAAAGTTGAGAGAAAGCGGCCAGAATTCTTAGGAGTAATATGGGTGTGAAAGCTAGACCTCACTCATCTTTTACCACTTAGCAAAAATTAAGAGAGTTTGCCTAGGAGGCGACACAACATCCTCCCTTTAGTCCTGAATTTGCACCTTCAGATTGTACTCAATTAAAAACCAATTTAATCATCAAATTATTGCAGATAGCGGCGTTTTATATGTCAAATTAGAACATTACGATTACATTTTAGTATTGAAGAAGAAGAAACATTGAACAAGTGCAATATAATTCATACTATTATTTTTGGAGAGCTATTACGAAAAACCCACACGTCATCTAGTAGGTCAACATCTATACTATAATAAAAACGTAACTGATCGATGTCTGTACATTGAAGATATATGAAAAAAACTGTTATGAGGGACATTTATAAGAGTAATAGAACACAAAAAAATGATTTTTAAATTTTTTGTCTGTTTGTCTGTTTGTCGGTTTGTCTGTTTGTCTGTGCGTTTGTGCACGATAATCTCAGAAACGGCTGAACCAATTTAAATGCAGTTTTTACTATTATATTGCGGTATTCTTCCGTTAACATTTAGTGTAAGATTTATTTCAATCGGTTCACAAATACAAAAGTTATGTCAATTTGAAGTGACGTGGTCGCCAAAATTGCTATCAAAATATTTACTGTTTTATTAAATTTTCGTCTTTGATATATTGATCATCATCATTAACTCTTTCACAGCCAAACTGCAGGGCCTCAGGCATTTGTTTAATAATTTTTGGTCACCCATCCCGTGAACAACTCTTGCGAAAATTGCTTAGCAATAGCGATCGTGCGCAGCGGCGCATATCCGTAGCGCCACCGAGTTACGAATTAATATTGTCTATTAAATGATAATTCGTATCATGACAAATAAAAAAATAAGATTCCAAAATTTTGAATCTCCGAAGTGAGTTGACCTCATTTATATATATATGGCCAATCATATTAAATAGGGTTCAGCTTATAATGGACATGTGGTATACGATCACGCAAGTAGGAGAACAAGCGCGAAAGAGACTTCCGATGATGCAATTAAGCCTCGAGTAGTTTACAGTGAACGCATATTTTTATCAGATTAGGTTCACGTCGTCGTCGGGGCCAGCGGAGGTGATTGGCAGCCGCTCCCGCATTGCACGGTTTCGTCTGTCTGGGAGAGGCCCTCGATTTACCCGAGTCTCTCCAATTTTCCATCTGCAAGGGGACCAATGGTCCAATACTTGAGTGTCCTGGTGACTCGGCCATAGCTTGCCGGTTTTCATTTCCCATGAGAAGGTGTAGAGTACGGGTTTTGGTCGTAAAGACAACTCGAGTTATATATATATTTTTTCTCTTTTTTTTAACATACAAATTGCTGTAGATACGTACTTCAAAGTTGGTATTTTCAGTCTTCGCTGGACACAATGCTTTATTCATAGGTCACAACACTCATATAATATTACGCGAGTCTGTGAGTCGGTTCAGAGTAGCTCGGTGGCGTAGTGAATAAGCGCCATGGCCCGCGATTTTAGTTGTTAAGCAACTTTCGCAAAGGTCGGGCACAGGATGGATGACCAAAAAATATTATCTCAAGCAACTTCAAGCTTCGGAAAGCACGTAAAGCGATTGGTCCCGGTTGTATTTGCTGTCGTTAATATCCTCCAATCCACATTGGGCCAGCATGGAGAGTCGCGGCCCATCCTCTTTAACCATCTATAAGGAAGGCCTTAGCTCCTGCAGTTGGTGACGTAAAAGGGCTGATGATGATGATGATGAGGGCCGTTCAAATCTGACAGAAGCTCAGTTAAGCACCTCACGGAAGTATGTTAGTAGACGATTTCCTTCGAGTGTGGAAAGTCGAAATTAAAATATGTATATATTTTTTTTATATCAATAAATAAAACTCCACGTATCTTCCGTCAGACATGTACTGGCCGAATTTTATAGATAAAGAAAGAGATCAGACAGAAGGCGCTCGCTCTCGGGAGACACCTGATAAACGCGAAGCGTATTTAACTGCCCATCGTGAGGCAAATTCGATGCAAACAAACAAACAACCAAATCTATCCTCTTTATAATATTAGTATAGCTTAGGCATAAGGGGTCCGATGGCGTAGTGGGTTAGCGCATTCGGTTTAAATTGCAATTAAATAAGTAAGTAAATACTGCACAACAAGGACATACATGAATACGTATTTTACATAAATAAGTACAAACGACAAACTCATCGCTAGCCGGCGATTTCTTCCAGGCAAACTAGCATTACATGAAAAATAGAACAATAAATAACCGATTGTGCATACAACTAGACAAATAATAATAATTTAAAAAGATCGACACAAAAGAAGGACCGTTTAAAGGTACGAATAAAATGCTCAGACACAAGCAACAACCAGAGCGCGAGAAACGAGAAAAAAATTGAAAAATAACATTCGTAAGGACCGTTTACAGGATGGATGACCAAACATTATTATCTTGAGCACTGTGCATAATGCACGTTAAGGTGTTAGTCCTGGCTGCATCAGCAACGTTAACACCCACCGATACGCATTAAGCCCGCGTAGTGGGTTATGGCCTATTGATCTTATTCGATTCGTCTGCATTCATAGGAAAAAAAGAATTCTACCAAAATACTTACCACGCAGACGAAGTCGCGGGCACAGCTAGTTTATAATATTTTGCCGATTACACTTTGCCTAACCATATGCATAGTGTCGCTGACACGTAGCACTGGCAGGATTGCAGTTTGGTTGCCCTTAAGAATGCAAAACAAGTCCTTATATATTAGGGTCGATACGCGGAACTCAAAACTGATCATTCATCAGTTCTTACATTGAGAAATTAAAAATATAAGAATATTTTACTTTGGTGTTTATCATTGTTTTCTTGTACCAGCAGGCTAATTCTTGTCTGGACAATAAAAAACTTTTAATTAAACAGAACAAACATATTTTATGTTTATATTTTCGCAATTTTCCCACAATCGTGATTATAGAGCACCCTAATAAATATTTTATAGACAAATCAAAAAATTATCAGTATATGAATGCATAATATGTGATACCATATATGAAATAATATAGTATATTTTTTCATATTTGGTTTTATATTTAGTTTTTGATTACCTATTATTTATTTATATATTTTAATATATTTATTACAGTTTAGTAACAAGTATCGATTTCTTATATTTTCAAGTTTGTTACTCCATAAATAAAATACTGAAGGTAGCTATACTTTTAATTAGAAAAAAATTAGATACCTTCAAAACAATCCAATGTGATAATGTGTAGTATTCCTCCTGATCTAATTAAACCTTAATTATGGAACATATTTGGATATAATAAAGATATTGAGTATTGTATACTTATTTCGGTGGTTCTATAATTTTGTATTAATGTTTTGACTCAAGGGATTAATTTTATAGTTCAATATAAAAACTAACTCGATGATGCGTGTTGAATAATAGTAGTTTATGCAACTTTCATATAAGAAGGGGTATTAAAACACGATAGTCTGTTTGTTATGATGCGAAGCCGAATGCGATAATAGGGTGACTCGAGTGTTTTAATACCTAAGTTATATGCAGTTTCATACACTACTTTATCTTCACTCATAGGAAAAATTTAAATTAAACAAAGTAGGTAGGTAACAAAGGAAGATTATTTTTTTTGGAAAAACAAGATCGGCAAAAAAATGTATGGGAAGCGCGGGAAATTAAGTTCAAACTACGCATTCGTGCACCATTTCTTTCATATTCAGCCTAAAACCACAGATTAATTCCATGAATAAAACTAGAACGAATATTTTCAAATAAAAATGTATGACACGAAAACATGTTCAAGTATCACGTTTAATTTTAACAAATAATTTTTACCTTTATAATTTATAAACACTTAGTTTTATTACCCTATATATTTGTTTTATTTCCTCGCAAAAGGCATTGAAAAATGTTGTAAGAAACTTGAGCGTAAAAGGTTTTTCGAGTATGACACAAAAACATGTTCAAATATCACGTTTAATTTTAACAAATATTTTTTACCTTTAATACATACTTAGTTTTATTAACCTATATATTTGTTTTATTTCCTCGCAAAAATCATTGAAAAATGTTGTAAGAAACTTGAGCGTAAAAGGTTTTTCGAATAAAAAAACCTTACTTTCCGCACTCTTATCTTAAATAACTATTATGATACAATTGGCGGTACTATAATGAGTTTTATTTTTAACTTTATGTTTATGCGTTTATAAAGTACGTATTTATAGAATCGTCTTTGAATTCTTAATTGGATTTTTTTCGATTTGAGTGTAGATAAATCAATTTATTCACGAACAGATGTTGTTATTGCATACCCTAAGTTTAACCTGAATGACGCAGCAAAATCGTATTAAATTGCTAACATAATAAGCGGCCAACAAAATTGTTGATTATGAAAACCGGTTTTACGAGAACAAAGTCCGGAGCATCAGTCCCAAGTCTACGAGCAATTTGAGCGCGTTTTATCAGTCTGATAAAATTTTATTATGATCACTACAAATGTCACGTTTTATTGACGTATTTGTTAACAAAATAATATTTACGTTAAACATAACATTTTGGTAGGTGAGTATTTTGTGGAATTATTTCTTAAGTACAAATATAGATAAAGCAGAGCTCGATTTTACATTCGAAAAAAATACAGAAGTCATAAATAAATATGTTATGAGATTTTTGCATTTGTTTGTATTAAAAAATAAAAACTATAATTTAACTTATAAAATTTAAGGGTGATTAAACCTTTGTTAAATACGATGAAAGTGATTTATCAAAATCTATTCACTATAAATAGACAAAGATACCGAAGAACATGCATACGAAATAAGTAAGTCTGATTACAATAAAGTCAAGTAGTAGTGTCTGCTTTATGTCTGAACGCAATAAACATAAGTAAATACCTACGAGTATAACTCGAAAGAATTAACATCATACCTGTGAGCCCATTCTAATAAAAATTTGGAAAATGTCGAATCGTTTTTTTTTTTTTCAGATGAATGACAACGTGGAACAACTAGAAAATAGACGATATTTTGTTTTCGGTGAAATAAAATAAGCTATCAAAGGTTGATTCGTATAAGTAGTAAAGTCATGTGGGACAAAAGTGCTTCATTTATGTTAAAGCTTCTTAAACATAAACAGTGAAATTAAATGTATATTTTAAGGTTTAATATATTTCTTTCGGCTGTTAGGGTGGATTGGCTCAACATTGATGAAAATACGCTTTCTTGTAGCGAAAAAGTAACAAGTGCTTGAAAAAAGTCCTGTTAGTTCTGTGAGCTGTTCTAATACTATCGCTCGGCCCAGCTTAGCTTATGTGGTTCAAGCAAGTTGTGGTATTTGAGGTTAAAGCAGAGTTCCACTAACGTTGCGGGGTGGTTTGGATATCCAAAGGGGTGCTTCTCGTCTCTGAGACGTACCCCAACCCGCAGAGGGACCTGCCCTTCTTAGGGCGGGCCGAAATGGGGGCGAAACACGCCGTGTATGGCCTTCGGGCCGATCCCATGCATCGCCTTCCATGCGAGGGATATGGCTTGGTTTTATTGGATATACCCCTGCTCTTTGACTAGCCCCACTCTGGGGCGAGTCCGCAGGGGGGAGTCCCACATAACCCCAGTTAGCCGCGCTGGCGACCCGGGGTATGTAGTAATGCCCAGCGTCAAAAAAACAAGGTTCTGGGTAGCTTAGAGGTTAGAGCAGTTTCCCAGATTGCGAAAGGTCCCGTCTCAGAATGCCAGGGCAAAGTGAATTTTTTAAGCAATTTTAATTAAGATAATTTTCCAGTATAGCATTGTAATGTGAAATTGATCAAGTATCATAATAAAAGATGTTTTCATAAATTGAATAAAAGTAAAATAAAACAAATTTATTTTGGCTTACAGAAAGTCATACAGCTACAGAGGATTATGATTATTAAAATGATTGATAAATAGGTAATGAGGGTAAAAATGATTCATTCTGTTAAAGACGTTCAAATGACCTAGCCTAGGGTACATTTCAAAAGTGTAATAAATATCTGTAGATATATTTGTAAGGCTAAATAATTTTGAAATGCATTTTGTAAATGTAAAGACTCGTATAAAAAAAAAGAAGTGAAAAATACAGTCCTTGCTGATTTCTTGTCTGTTCTTGTCATTATGAAATCTATCGGCGAACTTTAAGGAACTAACGAGACGGTAAGAAAATACGTGTAATATAGTATATATTAATATGTATTATAGTGCTGAAATAGTTAAAATTAACCGTATATAAAATATTTCAGTTAATAATTATGTTTAATAAAAAAAAAAACTATAAATTTATAGTTATATGATGCAGTACCTGTGAAATACATTGTTATACAGTTGGTAGACAAAACAAATGTCTGTATAGCGATAATATCGGATATCTCTTCAATCTTTATATAGTTATTGTTATTATTGCCATTTCTAAGTTTCCTTGCGTAATAAATTCTGCTGTTGCACTAAGTCATGTGACTTTACACGATTAATAAAAACCAAAGTCCGCGTTGCATGTGCCGATACCACTACCTTTTTTTAAGTTGGTGACTCATAAAGACAACCGTTTAATTTTATTACTACAAAGAAAATACTGCTATCATTAGCCAATATTTATTTATTCCTAGTATTTTAGTAGAACACAAAAAATCCGCTGCATTTGTACCATAGCAGTGAAACTCAAATATTGAGTAAAAACATACACATTAGTAATATCAATGAACGAATGACTCATTAACTACAAGTTCGCACGCTCAATATATATATTTACCTTAACCTTATTGTGACCAGTGTGTAGTTTGTCTACAAACAAAGCGCTAGTCGGTATCGTAAACTGGTCGCGAACTCACAATGATATTTATTGCATTATTTTTAATCGCGCTCACAGCGCTGTACTTCTATGGCACCAGAAATCACAACTATTGGAAAAATAAAGGTGTCAAACATGACAAACCAGTTCCTTTCTTCGGTACAAATGCAAGAAATTATCTACTCCAAAAAAGTTTCACAGAGATGCTTGTTGAGGCTTACTGGAAGTATCCCGAGGAGAAAGTCGTCGGAATATACAGGTCCAATTTTGCGGGGCTGGTGTTAAGAGACCCAGATTTAATCAAGCAGGTTTTGACAACTGACTTTTTATATTTTTATGGACGTGGGTTGAATGCACATGAAGAAGTAACAGAACCGATGATGAAAAACCTGTTTTTTGCTGACGGCGATTTATGGCGATTGTTGCGGCAACGAATGACGCCGGCGTTCACTAGTGGAAAATTGAGGGCCATGTTTCCTCTAATTGTCGAACGTTCTGAGAAGCTTCAGATTCGCACAGCCACGGCTGCTGCTAAAGGCTCCACCATCGATGCCCGCGATCTTATGGCACGTTACACTACTGACTTTATTGGAGCTTGCGGTTTTGGATTAGATGCTGATTCTCTCAATGAAGAAGACTCTGCCTTTAGAAAACTAGGCATCAAAATTTTTCATATAGGATTCAAAGAAGCACTGACTACTTATTTAAAAGATTTATTCCCAGAAATTAGTAAGAGCCTTAAATCTTTAGGAAGGTTTGAAGACGAATTAACTGATCTCGTAAAAGCAATTCTAAATCAAAGAAATTATCAACCTTCTGGTAGGAATGACTTTATTGATCTCCTTCTCGAGTGTAAGAGCAAAGGAATATTGACAGGAGAGTCAATTGAAAAAAAGAAACCTGATGGCTCGCCAGCAGAAGCATCTGTAGAACTGGATGATTTGTTAATGGCTGCACAAGTGTTCATTTTCTTTGCAGCTGGATTTGAGACATCTTCTTCAGCCACCAGCTATACTTTACATCAGCTAGCATTTCATCCCGAAATTCAAAAGAAAGTGCAAAGTGATATCGATAAAATATTAACTAAACATAATAATAAACTCTGTTATGACGCTATCAAAGAAATGAAATACTTAGATTGGACATTCAAAGAAGCAATGAGGATGTTTCCATCACTTGGGTTTTTGATGAGAAAGTGTGCAAAGACATACACATTTCCAAAAATAAACTTAACGGTAGACCCTGGCGTGCGTATATTCATACCGGTGCAGGCGCTACACATGGATCCCCTGTACTTCGACAATCCCGAGGAATTCCGACCAGAGCGTTTTGATCCTGAAGTTTTCGACAACACATTGAAGAACATTTATATGCCCTTCGGCGTTGGACCACGAGCATGTATTGGTAAGTAATCATAAATATTGGTTTTGTAACTTGACAGTAAATAAAATAAAATTATTTTCATAAAAAAAAAATATTTCAGGTGAACGTTTAGGGCAGATGCAATCACTGGCCGGGTTAGCGGCAGTGCTATCGAAGTTCTCAGTGCGGCCGGCACCAGAGACGGTCCGACATCCACGAGTGGATCCACCTGCAGGAATCGTGCAAAGTATACTGGGGGGTCTGCCCTTATTATTTGAAGAAAGAAAAATAAGTAACGCATAGAAAAGGTTAGTTTTTATTCCAAAATTTACAAAACTTTCACATATCACAATGAAGATCGACCTTGCTCTAGAAAACATATTAATACAAAATTCAGAAATAGACATATTGCGTGTGTAGAGTACAATCTGATTTTAGAGAGTAATGAATTGAAATTATATAATTTATCATATTTAATATAAAATAGATTTTTTTGGATGTAAGTTGATTGACTGATTATAATTATAATAATAAATTTATGTCATTGTTATTGTACTCTTATAGTGATGTCTTTGTAATTATAATTATCGATAAAATATTTTGGTTATTATTTTTTTGTTATTGTCCCACTATGTGTTTTAGCGTATTTTAGATCACTCGATATTTTTTTATTAAAAGAATAATTTTCACCAATCAAATAAATTTATTGCAGAAACTAAAACTAAATTCAGATTTTTTTATAAATGATTTTAGTGATCTTATTCTAATCCTTAAATTTAGTTAATTACTATGATAAACGTAATTATTAACTACAATTACTATGTTTATCATAGTATAAGAGCATGAATTACATCTACTTGTAAAGACGTTTATGTTTCATATATCAAGATGATCTCATTCCTAGTCATAGGCTGAGATAACAATAACAAAACCATTATGTCGTAATGTTATTAATTTTTTGAATTGATTCTAATCCTTAAATTTAGTTAATTACTATGATAAACGTAATTATTAACTACAATTACTATGTTTATCATAGTATAAGAGCATGAATTACATCTACTTGTAAAGACGTTTATGTTTCATATATCAAGATGATCTCATTCCTAGTCATAGGCTGAGATAACAATAACAAAACCATTATGTCGTAATGTTATTAATTTTTTGAACTGATTAGTTGAAACAAATGACTGATTTGTAATAATTCTAACACTCAAACAAACAAACTTGTTAGACCGGTTTTTTAATCCTAAGATAAAGCTCATTCTGTGAGCCTCTACGAATGCAACAATAAATATTTTTTGAAACGGTCGGAAGTTTTATAATTTTTGATTAAGTTGATGTGTGATATTTTTAAATATATAAGTTTCCTTTCGTAAAATTTTTTTTTTTATTATGTTTGGCTTGTCTTATTTCTAAATCTATCGCAATCTTTACAAAGGTATAGCGGACAATCACTTTCGGAACGAGTGATGATTTGAATGAATAATAAACATCATAAAAACTTAGTAACTTAAACTATTTGCGTCTATCGCTTGCCTTGGACGATTCCAATTAAAGTAAAATTAACGATGTCGTTCATTCATTATCTTTCAAAAAAACATCGTGATCACAATCGCTATTGCATGACAAATAAAATTGTTCATGAATATTTTCAGTTTGTGTCATGTCGAATATCAGCAAGTTCATGAATAGGTATCTTTAAAATGTCGAATTGAAAGGAATTGCTATGGATTGGAAAAACAATTAGGCCATTGGAAATTGTAATACATTAACTCATATCTCCTCATTGAACTTGATTTTTGATAGTGTTTGATAAAGATTTACACTTAAAGACTGATATAGACAGACAGTTGCGTTTAAGTCTTAATCAGCGACAGGTGATTTCCCGATGTTGATCTAAGATTAATATAATATCATTATAGTTTCTAATTGGCACATACTCTATGTATGGTTTATTATATTTCTTAACACGAATGTTCTATTTGCTCTTATCATAAACAGAACAGTCGTGTTTTTGTTCTATTTGTTTATGATAAGCACAAATAGAATTGTTGTTGATTATTAATTTTAAAGCTAAAATTAAAAGGTAATTGATTGTTTTTGCAGTTGTGATTGCAATAGTGTAGGTACAAGCAAACGTGAAAGTAAATGTTAAGTTAGCATGTTGTTATTCAATTTATTAGATATGACATATTAGAATGTATTCAATATGTGTCCTATTGCTAGATAACTTACTCTAAACATTCAAAGCGATAAATTATGATAATATTTTTATTATTAGTGAATCTATATAGTAGAATATATATATGGCAAAGCAGCATTACCTCCAAAATAACATTTTTTGAAACCATATTTTATTTTAACAATGCAATGGCGAGTTTTTTATCTCGTCTTTGTTTTTGAGCGCTCTAACTAATAATGTTTTAGGTATATAATGTTTAACATTTAAGATGATAAAGATGTCCCTTCAACTCATTGACTCTTCATTGTTTCTTAATAGATACAGATTAACGATGTAGTCTGACGTGTAATAATAGAGGTATCATTTCCATCACAAAAACAGGTTCAATAACACCTTTTTACCTTGATGTATGTAAATTATATAGTTCTCAATCATTCGATCAGTAAATGTGTATTTATTAAAAATTGTACAATGAAAAAAAAAATGTCAGCAATACAATTCGGTAAATGACATTAGTTTAGAGCCAAATTGAGCATACAAATATAATATTTGATTAGTTTTGCATTCACAGTGCTACACTGAAAAATGTTCTTAATAAAAATGTTTAAAAACATTTATCATTAAGCATACAATTATAGTTAATAACGATAAAGCAATTTATTTCACATAAATGTTGGATCAGTCATAATAGTTTCTACATTATATTAGATAACTACAGAAAACCTCCGCCCGACTGCAATGGTAGTTTCGAGAATAAGACACTTTTCAGATACGTACTATTTCTCACTTTGAAAAGTTTAAAGTCGTTTCTATTTAATAAAAAAAAAACCCTCTTTTAACGGATATTGACATTTTTAATTAATAAGTAACACTAAAAATTTAATATTTATTAAAAATATGTAAACAAAGTGAAAGTCTTTTCAAAGGAGATTTTGTGTATTTACTCAACAACTTTTATCCAACACATAATCCATACGTGTCCATACTTATTAAAAAGAAAGACTTGATTGAATTAGATAGGCTCCGTAACTATTGGACCGAATATATAATTCTATCTATGGGAAACTACACGCGAATTTGCGCAGGCGAAGTCACGGAGAGACAGCCAATTTGATAATGGAAATTGGGTTAAAATTTAAGAAGATATCGAAAAACATACATACTTAAAAATATATACATATTGGTGAACAAAGAAAATCCTCCTTTCAGTTTTTGAATAAATAAATGTTTTTAATTTTTCGCTTTGTTTATGTTCGTTTATTTTATATCAACACGTCATCTAAATATTTAGGTGATATTTGATGAAAAGCGTATTTTGTTTTGTTATAAAAGAAAACTACTGATATGATTTCTATAAAATTTACATGGAACCATCTCTAATAAAAAAATATTTTTGAAAATCGGCCAACAGTTATCCTCCTCCTTTCGTTTTTTAAAGGTTATAAAAAATGATAACAAATTTGGAGATCGGTGAACTTGTGAACATTTTTTTAATACAAATGGCCTAAACAAGTTTGTTTATAAAACGGGTTTTGTATGTAAATGATTGTTCAATAATAATATATCAAAGAATTATACAACACGCAGGTATGCGAGGAATTTTATTATTCTTCGCACGAAAATGGACCTTCTGCATACTAGTAACAAAATTCGTTTTGTTTCTATCTTTCGGCTCTGATAAGATTGAATTATTGATTTTTACTGACATTATTTTAAGTGTTTTATGTACACACAGAAGCTTATTTAAAACAGTTATATTTAATCTGTAACTTTAAACTGTTAATAAAATTAGTTCCAAATAAACTTGATATTTTGTAGTAACCTCATGTGCTGTTTATGTTAGTAGAGTCAATTTATAAACCTCCTTTTTATGCTAGCTGTATTCCCGCGACCGCGTATGATGTAGCTTCCCGTAGGTAAAAATTTTTTTTTTAAAATCGGTCCAATATTTTCGGGAATATTCTGATGCAAAAAAATAAACAAATATTGCTCTTTATAATATTAATAAAGAAGATATTACATAACTAATAAATATTGATCACGTAACATTAACTTAGAATCCAAGTCGTCAAAAATAGGAAAAGATTTATTTTTAATAAAAAATACTTTAAAGAGTACCAGAGACAAAGAGTATTTTTAAACATTTTTTATTAAGAATATTTTCCAGTGTGAATGCATAATTGATCAAACATAATAAAAATACTCGTACAATAAATTAGTGATCCCAAAATGGTACATTATTTAAAAAAGTTAACCACTCATTTACTTAAATGAAATGCAAGAAAAAGTTTAACATTTAGATATTTTTTTCAAATCTTTTATTGAATTTACTGGTCCCTTGACGTCACAACGCCGTCGTGTCGATAGAAGGCAATTTTTATATATCTTTAGAATTAGAATTCAAATATCTCGATGTCGAAATATTTTTTTAAATATTTATACCACTTATTTCATTGCGATGATACATATCTAAATGACAATTTCAAAATTTACAAATAAAATTTACTTATTTGTGAACAAAATTAATAGTTTATAATTTCTGTTAGAATATAGCGGATGATATTAAAAGTAAATAAAATTAATGTTTATTAAATACAATAGAAAACATGCATAAACTATGAATTTAAAGTTTGAATGCGTCATATGGAATTATAAATTCATAACTATTTTGTATGAATTATGTGAGGTATTATTCACTTCATCTTGCCTTTTCACTGAAGAAATGGGAGGACATTTTTATATAGGTTATTTTTTAGACAATACAAAACCTTTGACTCTTGTTCAGTTTCTTTGAAACATATTCTATTTTAATAATATTAGATTTGTGAAAGTTTTTATGTATGTTTAGGTCATTCTATTGATAAGTTGATAGATATACCTATGACTTCGCCAAGCTCGAAAGGCAGAATAAAGTTATAATGCCTTAGTTAAACTAGTCGATGAGTAACGCACGCGGACAACCTATGCGGGCTCAACTCATTGAGGTCAATAAAACAATGACCGAACAATGAATTCGAGTCAGAGGCCGCTAGCGATCCGCTGGTGGTTATCATCAACTAGTATTACTGAACCATATATCTAGGAGTACCTAAAGAGTCCGTACTACCTCTAAATTAGGTACATATATGACAAAATGTTTTTTTTTACCATTTTCCTCATATATTTTTCTATTGCAGCTAAATCGGCTGTTATTATCTTTCATGCAATAAGTAGATAGCAAAACAATCCGATATAAACTGTTTCACTTGTAAATTAGGATAATAAATTGTATAGAGAAATTTTGTAGACATTTACCTATGTTATCAAACTGTTATCAATTAAGTACGCTTATGGAATTAACCAAAGTGCATTAGTGCGTCGGTAGAATGTATTAAGTTATGTACTATGTGGAGTGTAGTATGCAGTGTGTGCTATCAGCCGCACTGTAATTACACCGCCTGAGGCTATACAAACA